CTGATTCTTAATAAATGAAATGCCACTCAACAAGCACATACAATAAGCTTACAATAGCTAAATTATTCTCAATAGTAAGTTGTTCTTAAATTTGAGTATATTTTCTTTTCTTTGTTGCAAAGGTCACTTAAAGTACAGGACATTGGATTTCTTTTTTTTTTTTTTTTCATATTTACAACCTAATATTTCTAAATCATATTTATCGTAAATAAGGTACAACATAATATTATGTGCCAAGAAAATCTTTTTTCGTTCACATTAATGCACAAAACAACTATTTTTTAATTAGCTTCCAAGCAGTTATTTATAGGTAGATAAGGTCTTGGTATAATTTTATATTATTTGTATATATTTCGAGATATTTTTTCATTTACAATGTAGCTTGTATTATTCAAAATTAGCTTTGTTCCTTAGATGTTGTTCGTTTAATTTACTTTTTTATTATCAAAGTATAGTAGAGTTAAATCCTTTATTTCATATATGACAGATATTTTTTTTTTTTTTTTTGTTTCATATTCAGTACTATTAAAGCTTAGAAAGTGAATTGATAATATTATGTATTAAATAATATATTTAAATTATTTGTTTTTCATCAGCTATATTTTCACCAGTCAGTTTCGAAATTCGCTGCACTCTGATACAGATATAATGTGTATATTGTGGCACATAATTTTATATTGGTATTATATTTATTAATGTATTTATTATTAATATCGAAGCTTTCCAAGACGATATAACTTTCCGTTTATTTGTGATAGAATAAAAGTACATTATATTTTACTTGGACATAGTAATCTGAGCACATATCTGAGTATTTCTCAAAATGTTCATTACAGTAAAGATCTATCATATGAAAGATACTTGAAAGTACACTAGTTATAGTGTAATAATATATATATTGGAGTATACAACATGACTGCTTAATCTTGAACCCCGGCAGGGTTTCAAGATTAAGTGTTATAGCTGTATTTGTAAAGAAACAATAAAATATATGTAAATTTAATATTGCGTGACCTCAAAATCAAAATATTTTATTATTTTCAACTTTCGCACAATTAACTCATTAAAATATGCTTACAATTTTACAGGAAGCTCTTACATTTTTCTTCATTCTCAGTATGTTAAACGTTAAATATGTTATAAATCAATTTTCACGAGGAAAGACTTTCAGTATCAATTTGAAGAATGTAATGATTTATTCTTAAATTATGCGAAATTCATGCATGAATTTTATTGTTTCAAAGATTTCTAAATAATATTTAAATTTTTAGCATAAAAATATCTTTTATCGATCACAATACGAAAAATAGTATTTGAGATTCTTTTTTTTTCTAAATATGACTACATTTGCATAATCTTCACTATAATTCGTAAAATTACAATGAAGAAAATTGAGCTAACATTTGTTGGAACGTTGTTGTTCCAACAGTAGTAGACATTTGACTAATACTGTTGAATAAAGCATCTGCCTGCAAATTTTCTGGCAACCTAGTAAGAAACTGTGCTCCATGTACAAAATCCATCTTTAATAATTCTTCTTGATACAGGTGTAACACACCAAGTGCTGTTCTAAAAAGGAACTCATCCCCATCTCTGAGAAAAACATCCCAGATTCTACATGCAACATCCAGAGGCATCGCTTTGGCATATACAGTATATAGCCAATCCAACAAATATAAATCTGGGCTAAGACCAGCTACTGTAAAATGAGAAAAAATTTTTGGCAATTTATGTGCAAGTGCACTAGAATACACCTTGTAGTAAATATCCATTTGCTTTTGATCCAGTGTGAAAGCAGCTCTGTGGCAAGGATGATTTAATAAATTAGCAAAGCAAGTAAAGGCATCTGGAGGTTCCATGTTTAATGATAATACAGCACCTATAAAACTCATACCTTGCACGTAACCTACATCAGGTCTATAAACTGCATAGGCTGCCAAAATACCTTGAAGACTATGAGATAGTGGTCCACCTTCTTGAAAGACACATAAGCTGGGAAACGTACGAGACACGTCTAATTTGATTGCAGCTAATGGTTCACTTATAGAATTTGACATTGCTCTGTCTAAACATATGTTATAAAGGTGTGCTGTTATATTTAAATTATTTGGAATAGCTAATTTCCATACTTTGCCACGAATACTCGGTGGAAGACCACGCCACCATAATTCGCGTACTTTCTTGGAATTTTTAACACTTTCGAATTTAGGAAGAATATGTACATTCCAAGTATTAGAGTCTTCTGCTAATCGTTCTTCTTCTTTAAGCTGTAATTCTCTTTGGTGTTTACGCTCTTTCTCTTCTCTTAATTCCCTCTTTCTTATAGCTTCTAAAATAGCATTATATTGCTTACGATGACGTTCTTCCTCTGTTGCATTCTTAGCTGGTAAGTTTGCTGGTCTAGGCTGTTGAATTAAGGCTAAACTTCCTCCTACTTTATCTATATTTCTTGATGGGCTACTTGTAGGTGTGGATTGTTGAGAATCTTTGTTTTTCCATAAGAAAACATTTTTTGAGAAGAGCGTATTCAATCCCCAACGCTTAGACTTTTCAGCCTTTTCACCAGTTTGCTGATCATCAGAACTCAGAAAACTGCCGGAAGGAGACACTTCACTAAGGGAAGACACAGTACTGCTACAAGATCTTGGTAAACTGTTTCTAGGACTACTACTTGCACTACCACATTCCAATTTGTTATATTTATCTTCTTCAACTTTAAAATTTTCATTTAATGATTCTTCCTTATAATCACATGGAGAATCCAAATACTGTGATTTATAATCAAGTTGTGGTTCATTAGATTCTTCCAAAGAATATATTTGTTTTGTAGTAGGATTGTAAGCTAGAGACATGCTCTCCAATGCATGGCTCAAACTAGTTCCAGCAACTCCTACAGATACTATATTACCAGCATCATACCATTTATTTTCTCGTATATGGACACATAATGCTTTTGTTTTAACAATAGGCACAGAAGCCACATCGCATGCCAAAGCTTCATTAACATTCACACTGTTACAAGATATGGAATTTCCATTCAATGACACCAACTGTTGTTTACCAATCTTTGGAACAATATTATTTGCAACATAACAATTGGAATCGCGTCCAGCTACTTTCAGTACTTGGTAATTGTTTGACATATTGCCACAATGAGATACAATACAGGGAGAAACATTCTGCGATGTAATAGGATAATTATTTCCATTTATATGTTGAGATGCAGGATTCTTCATGATTGGTGCCCTTTTCTTAATCTTATTAATACATTAAATGTTTCTGTACTAAGGGCAAACCAACAAAAAATCAGATTTGCATACAGGATGTCTATAAACTTGTATTTATGCATATTTTCTCATTGCTTTTGAATAATGTGATTGAACATATATCACTGATATTTATAAGCATAACAATTAACTTTGACATTCTTATTGCATTATAGTAATTCTTCTTATAAAATCGTCTCAGATAACCATTACATCATGAAATTTGCTCCTTCATTGATAACGATGAAAAACAAATTCTGACCTTAAATTTTTCAATCAAATTGATTATCCATTGTAAAGAATGGTCCTTTCTTCAACTTTTATGTTCGCACAATTTTCGTTGTGTTCAATAGGTTAAGATGCATTCAGACAAAATACTTTTGCTTCATAAGCAAAAACAGTGACACACGTAAGTGTGGTATAATTCCATTGATAAATATTTAATATAATGATACTTGTGTAGTGCGAGAGAAACTGGACCCTTGATTAGACTGACAAACAATATATGTATGTGTATGCATCAGTATGCATACAACACACAGAAAAGAAATGTTACATTTCTTATTTCTAATTGTAACAAACGCGTTCAATAAACTTTGAACTGATATTTTAATTAGAATCAAATTATTCTAATTTTTGACAATGCAGTAAGCCACGACGGAAACTTGAAACGCGTGGTCACTGATCTTTACTACCGTGACTTTAATGAAGTCACGTGATCCGATACCATTTCCCATCATTACATTGACATTTGCAACCTTTTTACTTATAAATAATTATTTATTAAAGAACAATAATGATAAAAAAGTAAAAAATTCAATGTAAAAAATAAAGACATATTGTTCTTTTAAGATCATTCTTTATTTCATTGAGGCTGATCTTTTTGTTATGAATGCATATTAACTATTTATAGACAATTTGACATTTTATACATTGAAGACAATTAAACAATTATAAATAAGACAATTAAATTTAGTAACTTTACAACGCAACGAATGTTGAAAGATGTTGAATGACAACTTTTTTATAGTTGAAGACTGCACTTTAACTTATAATAAAAGTCCCTAGGAGAACTGTCTCAAAACAGCTGATTGTAGAAATTGATGAAAACGAAAAATTGTATTAATTGAAACGCTATTAAAAAGTAGGTTAAAAAAGGTCAAATATCAGTCGCATCATTGTCAAGTCTCAATAAACAGTTGTGATTATTTTAGTGAAATATAATTGTTAAGTGTGAATTTTTTTAACATAACAGATGTTTATTGTAAGAAATGTCACAAATTGATATCCAGGATTTATTTGATAAAAGCAGGTAAAATAACTATTTATATGCAACAAATATAAATAATATTATAATAATAATAGTAATGATCTGTCATATTTTTAATAATAAATAATATTGTAAAGGTTCAGTAGTATATGTAATCAACTTTCTAAAATAATGAATTTCATCATCATATGGATACTTTTTAATTGAATAAGTATAATATTGGAAATATAACTATATTAATACTAATGTATAAAATTGCAAATTATGTATGAAAAATGTTATTTATAACAAATTGCATTGCATAAGAATAGTTTGAAAATATATTTCTGTTATATATATATATATATTACTTATTTTGCAATAGCATAAATATAACAGGAACAGTTGTTTTATTTATAGAGATGAAAATATTCATGAAAAATGTGTTCAGATTTTGATGAGTATCAAGTAAAATATATTTCATATTATTCTCATCTTACTAGTAATTTAATTAATAGCAATTTAAACATTATAATATTTAAATAAAATACATTATTTAGGTTTCCCAGTGGTTGGCATCTTGTGACTATATTTTTGTATACCCCAGTGGGTCTTTTACTTGTATTACTAAGATTATTAACTGCTTTACAACTTTGGCTCCTTGCAACTCTATTACCTGACTGTAATAATCTAAGAAATTTTTTAAGTCATGGATTTAGTTTTGCATTTGGAATTGTGGTGAAGATTCCTGAAGGTGAAGTTAAAAACAAGCAATCGAGAATTATAATTGCTAATAATGTCTCTGTCTTGGATCACTTTGTACTATACAAAGCTACGCAAGCGCTAAGTCCCAGTGTATGGGAATTACCACCAATGCTTAGCAAGACACTGGGTCTACAAATGATGGATATGACTAATAAAGAAACTTTAATTGCCAATATAAAACAGTTTCTTTCAACATCAAAGTGCAACATTGCATTGCAACCTGAATTTGGTACAACCAATAGTCGTGTTGCGTTGCTAAAATTCAATTCTTGGCCATTTACCATAGAAACATCTGTTCAACCAGTTGCAATCAAAGCATGGAGGCCAGAATTTACATCTATTCGTTTTTCTTCATTGGCATCGACATGGTGGACTGATGTCTTTTGGTTTATGTTTGTTCCTTATACAGTCTTCACAATTAAGTACCTGAAAATCAAACAAAATGCAGATCCTGAAGTACTAGTAAGGGAAATAGAAAAAGATATAGCAACTAGTCTTGGACTTAAGACAAGTTCTCATACCGTATCAGATAAAGCAGAATTTGAAAAACGCTGCATTATAGAAAAAACACAAAATAGAAGGCTTAATAGAAGTTCTCCAAATTCACAAATCATACATAGTATTGAGATACAGAGAATGGTACAGCAAGTCAGTGAAGTGCTTCCATTGGTCCCTCATAATGTGATTCTTAGAGACCTTTGTATGTAAACAAATAATTATTTTAATTGTAATTATTAACATATCGTGTTAATCGTTTTTAAATCTAAAAATATTAACTTATTACTTTTACAGTAAAAACACGTAATGTTGATATTACAATTGCCAATATACTAGATGGCATAGTTACTTATACTCCAGATTCAACTCAAGCAACAGCTACACCATCAGTATCATTGAATCAATTACAAATAAGTACAGTTAAGGATAACAGTAATGTAGGATCTTCTTCCTTCCAGGAAAGAAAAGCTAAAATGATCAGAGAAGCTAGAGAAAGGTATATTCAGAAACATGGACTTAAAAATTGCTGACATTCTTATTGCAGTTATGTTCTGGTTATTGTATCTTTATTAAAAACAACTATATATTGTTTTTGTCATATGTGTATTTACTATTACATAATGTGAATATAATTTTATTTCTAAAATATAATAATACATTTTATAATTACCTACCCTTTTATATACACATATTATAATACTATTATTATCAGCAATTTCTGGAAGACATGTTTTTATTTCATATATGTTTAACTGTTATTGATATTAATTATGTAAGTAAAATAAAGCTTGTTTATATATGTGCTTTACACAAAAATTAATAAAAATGTATAAGAAAAATAGAAAGAAGAATGCATAAATAATTATACTATATTATTTGTAACATTATTATAGCTTATAAACTATGGAAGACATTCAGTTTCACAAACAGTACATTGTGCTAAAACAATATACTATTATTACTTAATTATTCCTGATTACCAAAAATTACTTAGCAAAAATAAAGACAAATTAAAAAAAAAATTACTTAATACTATATTTATACGAAAACCCGATATATTGGCTCTAGAGTATTAAAAGGAGTAACAAAATATATTAACGATTAATATTTCCAATACATACATATTTCAAATCAAGGAAATCATCAACACCATGTTTAGAACCTTCTCTTCCTAAACCTGATTCTTTTACTCCTCCAAAAGCAGCTTCAGCACAAGAAATTAATCCTTCATTCACACCAACCATTCCAACTTCTAATTTTCTTGCTACTCGAAATATTTGTGATATATCTTGTGAATAAAAGTAACCTGCTAAACCAACAGGTGTATCATTAGCTTTTTGTATAACTTCCTCTTCAGTTTCAAATTTATTAATGACAGCTACTGGTCCGAAAATTTCTTTGTTATATATTTCCATATCGTTAGATACATTTGTTATAAGTGTAGGGGCATAGAACAATGGTCCTAATTCAGGTAGTGGCTTACCACCACAATGTACTTTTGCTCCCTTTTGCACTGCATCAGTAACTAGTCTGTGTACCATATTCAATTGGCTCTCTTTAATGAGAGGACCATGTGTAACTTCTTTTTTACTACCATCACCCATTTTAATGTCACTTTCAATTTTTGATAGAAACATTTCAATAAATTTATCAAATTGACTAGCTTGTACAAAAAATCTGTTTGCAGAAACACATGTCTGGCCGGCATTACGAAATTTACTTGCCATAGCACCTGATACAGCTACATCCAAATTAGCAGTATCAAAAATAATAAATGGTGCATTACCTCCTAATTCAAGGCTAAGTCGTTTCATAGTTGAAGCACACTGTTGATACAATAGTTTTCCTACAGCTGTTGAACCAGTGAATGATAAAACTCTTACTTTTGGATTCTCACATAATTCTTTACCAACAGCAACAGAATTCTGTAGGCTTGTTGTAAGTACATTTAAAGTTCCATCAGGAATACCTGCTTTTTCAGCAAGATCAGCTAATGCTAAAGCAGTAAGTGGTGTATCTTCGGATGGTTTAATTACACATGTACATCCAGCAGCAAGAGCAGCAGCTGCTTTACGGGTGATCATAGCGTGTGGAAAATTCCATGGTGTGATCAAAGCAGCTACTCCAACTGGTTGCTTTAACAAAAAAAGTTCTCTAGTAGGTACTGGTGGTTGCAATTCTTCTCCAGTAATTCGTCTACATTCTTCTGAAAACCATTCCACAAATGAATTTCCATATTTAATTTCTGCTTTAGATTCATTAAGAGACTTTCCATTTTCTTTAGTCAAAATTTGTGCCAAATCATCAGCATGTTTCACCATTAGATTATACCAATTTCTAAGTAAATCACTTCTTTCTTTTGCAGTTGTTTTACTGAATGTTTTAAAAGCTGCAGATGCTGCATTGATTGCTACTCGAGTATCCTCAACATTCATATCAGGAACATTATTAATAACAGATTTATCAACCGGATTATAAATGGGGAATGTATTTTTGCTTATTGCACTTATCCATTTTCCATTTACATATGCTAAATCTCTTAGCAAATTCAGTGAAATACGATTAGCATTATGAATCATTATGATGGTAATCTGAAATCATATACTTAGTTCAAGACATGGCATCAAATAAATTAATATTAAACAAAATGTTGTAACATTGTTGTTACAATATGATTATTAAAATACTGTTATTTATAGATCAACAATCTATAAATTATATATGTATTTATAAATTTATATACACGTATGAAATACTAATACAGTTTAACACTTACCTTTGAACAAAAGAAGGAAAACAACTTATATTTTCGATCTAATATGAAATTCGTTTATGAGCGGTTATTTTCAAGTGATATTATCAATGCATGTTATCAATTTCATCTGCAAATTGTCCTTATATAACTTGTCGCTACTTTACTCTGATTAAGGGTGTTATATACGTTTCAGTGTATTCTTTGATATGCCATATACATAGCCGGCGCACCGGCGTCCCTCAGTCAATAAAAGTGTTATCGGGTTTAATATTTTTACAGCAAGATCACATTCAAAAAAGTAAGAAATATATAAGTATTTTGTACATTATGAGTACAAATACGAAAAGAACTATTTATGTAGGTAGGGAACTATTTACTAAACTTACTTTTATCAATGTAACCTATTTTAACCTGTATAATACATGTTGGAATTTATACTACATATTTTATTCATTATTTTAGGGGGCCTAGCTGAGGAAGTTGACGAAAAAATATTACATGCGGCATTTATACCTTTTGGTGAAATAGTTGATGTACAAATACCATTAGACTATGAATCAGAAAAGCATAGAGGATTTGCTTTCATTGAATTTGAAAGTGCAGAGGATGCAGCAACAGCAATTGATAATATGGTACATGTTTAAAACAGCATACATATCTGTGTGAGTTATTTAATAACATAGTTTTGCATAAAAAATAATGCATATTGCATTTTCATTCATTGTTATAAGATCTATAGATACATGAAGTAAATATTGATTCCATTTATCTAATCATTGTTGTATTGATTATATTGATTATATATTAAAATCACTTAATCCATACATCTGTCAAACTTTATCTTTAACAAACAGAATGATTCTGAGCTGTTTGGACGAACAATAAGGGTAAACATTGCAAAACCACAAAAAATAAAAGAAGGTTCATCAAAACCTGTTTGGGCTGATGATGCATGGTTACAAGAACATGCAGGTGAAACACTTAAAAGTGATGATAATGCAAATTCAGCAGATGCAGTTCAATGCAAAAAAGGAAAACAAAATCCTCAAGTCTATTTTGATATTACTATTGGAAAACAAGAAGTAGGTAGAATTATTATGATGCTGAGAGCTGATGTAGTACCAAAAACTGCTGAAAATTTTCGTGCTCTTTGTACACATGAAAAAGGATATGGATACCAAGGAAGCATATTTCATAGAATTATTCCGGAATTTGTATCCTTTATTTATTCTCATTCCTTTTTTTTTTTATAAAATAAAATTACATAAATATCCTTATATAAAATGTAGATGTGTCAAGGAGGAGATTTTACAAATCATAATGGAACAGGAGGTAAATCAATCTATGGAAATAAATTTGATGACGAAAATTTTGAATTAAAACATACTGGACCTGGTACTTTATCAATGGCAAATTCTGGTCCAAATACAAATGGATCTCAATTCTTCATATGTGCTGCACGTACAGATTGGCTAGATGGAAAACATGTAGTATTTGGGCATGTTCTGAGTGGCTTAGATGTTCTAAAGAAAATGGAAAAATGTGGAACTAAATCAGGCACTCCTACTCAAAAAATTGTTATAACAGCTTGTGGAGAATTAACTTAAATCATTTTTAAAATTTATCATTTCGTAATAATTGTAACATAAATCTTATGTGAATTAAAAAATTCAAATATTTTAATAAATCTAAAGCATGGTTTAGTATTTCTTGTAACTATTATGCTTTTGATGGTACAAGGAGTCTATGCCCGTAATAATTAAAACTAACAATAAGTTGTGGTTAAAGAGGGATTCGTAAAGGTAAAATAATCTCATTTAGGGGTATTTAGGACCCCAAAAAATCATACCCCTCGAGAACAAAAACATTGTCTAGTCTTTCTTTATCTGTAGTCACTGTCTGTATTCGACAGATTTTTTTATTATTATTATTGTTTTAATTAAAAAATTGTTATTACAGAATTCATGTACCATATCTTTTATACTAGTTTTAAAACGTTACATATTATTACAGGTTAATTTGAAAATTTATAATATATTTTGAATACATGAAATATATAAAATTGAACCGCTGCTTATATGAATACAGGAACGGAGGAACGAATACAGTGTGTTCATGTGTTCTAAGTTATCGTGTGGTATCATCGAAAACTCTAGAGTCTCTAAATTTTCACGCTTTTACAAGAAAAATTTGATCCTGTGATCTATTATTATATCGTGCTACTACAAACAAACTACTTAATAAAACTTTCGAAAGGAAGCGAACTCCACTAATTCAGTGGATTGTTCTCAAAACGGGAGTAAGAAATGGTAATTCACCTTTTGTTTTGATATTTGTTTACTCGTAATCGATTTCTCATTCTTTTATAATTAAATTTTCTTACTGTTTCTCTTTTATATTAACAATTAAAAGTTTGTTTCCGACCGAATTTAAACCTGTGAAAGAATTTATATACTTGGTTTTAGATTTGACAGTATTTTTCTGTATTTTGTATTCATTTCATGCCGGTTACAGAAATGAAAAACATTTATTTTCAGAATAATGCATTATTATTATTATTATTATAAATTAAAATCCTTAATCAGTGTGTATTTCTTGATCATTAGTTTTGCTTTCAAAATACACATAACCAATAAAATTTGGTGTAAATAATATGTTATTTGTTTTATTAGTAACTCAGTTGTGTTTCTTTAAAGTAACAAATTAGTAAATACATAGTTTAAATAGAATTATGTTGATGTTTACAGGTACAAAACAAAATATAATACATATTTTTATTTTCAGTCTCACACAATATTACTCGTACAACCAGGCAATAGACCTGAAACAAGAACTTATTCTGATTATGAAAGCGTCAATGAATGTATGGAAGGTAACAATATTTTTTAGTATATTATTCTATTAACATCATACATCATACAAGTAAATTAAATAATTATTGAATCTTTACATTTAAATATAATAAAATAAAAGTATGGTACAATAGATACAAATCAAAGAATACAAATTATATTTTTTTTTAATACAGGGGTGTGTAAAATTTATGAAGAGCATTTAAAAAGGCGGAATCCAAATACACCAACCATAACATACGACATCAGCCAGCTATTTGACTTTGTTGACCAACTTACAGATTTATCATGTCTTGTTTATCAAAAATCCACAAACACATATGCTCCCTACAACAAGGACTGGATTAAAGAGAAAATATATGCTTTACTACGTCGAGCTGCTGGACATAGCGAATAATTAATGAATAAAACATAGATATATGCTTTTTATGTATAAGATAACTTAAGTTTAAGTAAAGATCTATATTACCGTTTGTAATAATAAATATATAATCTAAAAATATTTTAAACTTTGAACTATTTACAGTGAATTCATCAAACTGCGGTGATAAATTCTTGATCATAGTTCAAAACTTCGCCATTAGATGGCTATGATCGCGTTGTCTGACGGTTTCTAAAATTACCATTCTTAGGGGTAGAGTGCGCAACGAAACACTGACACAGACCAGGAGCGGATTTAGAAACTTTGCTTAAGAGGGAGAAATAATGGTATATAAGTTTTTTGTACACGATTTCAATCTTATTTATATTTTATTTATCAACATTTGTATCGAATAGTAACTTAATCAAATTCATATTATCATTCCCCATAGCCCCGCTCTGGATTCGCTACTGAGCGACATCGGTATTTCAAATCACGAGACAAGTCAAATTCCCATAAGATGATTAGTGTATTCTATATATACTTCCTCTGTGACGATAATAATTGTCAACCACACAGCTATATAATAAAAGTACAACAAAAATGAAGTATATTAAATTTTAGAAGAACATATTTTATACGAAACATATTAAACATTATATTTATATTGATATTATTTGCATAAAAAGATACTTTTATGCAGAATATGATTACATTAAAGTATATTTTCTGCAAGTAATTTTGATGTGATTTATGTATGTATATTAGCAGTAGACACAATGTTCAATCACCTATTGATACATGCGCTTACGCAGATATTGCATATATATACATACATAAATATCTACATTGAACATAGTAATATAAAAGAAGGTAAATTGTACATATCGCACACTGTTTTACGCATTGCGTTTGTGCATGTTTGTGCACCAGTGTCTATCGTTAAATGCAGCAGTTTTACCAAGACAGAAAAAAGCTAAAGTTATATAAGATAACGAGCAGTGAACGAACATGTTTGATAAAGGAAGAGCTCTGCATCAATTTTAGATAACGTTGAACTACTGCAGAAAAACGATTGCTTCACTTGTCAGTCACTTCTGAACGTTGCATTGAATTGCATATATAAAGCAATATCTTTGTTATCTAAATTACTGTTTGCAAATAACAAATTTACAAATAATTTAATATTTTCTGTTGATAAGTTGTTACTGTGTTATAATATTAAGTTTTTTCAATGGAAACTATTCGATAGTATTTAACAGCGGAAATCATTGTATTTCGTACAGTTTAAATGTTATTAGATATCTATATACGTGTAAAATATCTGAGATTTTCATAATTACACAGGTTGAAAAAAATTTTACAATAAATACGAGACCGGCAGGATGTCTAATAGCAGGAGTGAAGTTGATCCTTTCAGCGAGATACCGATGGAATTCCAAAGTTGCGAAGGTAAAATTATAAATATTCTTTTTAATTATCTCTACAAATATTATTATTGTATAAATGCGAAAAACATGAAATGTACTTCTTTATTTATAGTGAATGTCATCTATGTGAAATTAATTTGTATGCGCAAAATATTTGCAACTCTTTGTCTATATACAAAATTCAGTTAGAACGTGTAGTGATTGCGCAAAAGTGCTGCAGATAAAATTCTTTTTAATGTTTGTCTATATTATTTGATTAATATGTAATAAAATTTAATCGAATTCATATGAATTTGAATGTCTTATAAGGTTTATAAGGAAAATTAATTAAAACGAAAAAACATATGTATTTTTGGAAAGATGGTTTCAATATGGTTTCCTTAATATTTATGTAAATTATTATATTTGATTATTTTTTATCACATATTTTTAAATTAATAAAATATAAAAATAGGAATTCTAAAGTAATAACATAATTTTTAAATAAGAATTAATAACAGAAGTTAAACATTATATTAATTATAAACTTTAATATTTAAAGGAGTTACACAGGTTGCTACAGAATCACAATCAAAAACTGAAACAGGGAATGTAACAAATGAACCAATATATGCAGAACCTTTAACGCCAGAACAAGTACGATGGTTTTATAGAGATGGTATTGATAAAAGATGGGTAAAATTCTGTGGATATGACAGTTTAAGAATTGAAAATGCTTGGAGAAATTATCAAAATTTGCTTAGCAAATGTGATAATACAATTCAGAATACTCTTCCTGTTGAAAAAATTGTAGTTAAAGGAGGAATGTATGATGTGGAACTTGATAAAATGAAATGTGTTTCTATCTACTGCCCAGGTACGTATTTTATTTTATTGAATCACTGTAATATGAGACAATTTAAAAATTAAAATTTGTGAGAAATGTATTACAATAATTCAGCAAATAAGGTATTATTTTATGTTACTTCTTCATCATGTAATGAATAGACTTTGCGCTGCACTTATTTTTTTGACTCAAGCAGCATATGTGTTATCTGTATTATATAGATTGCTTTGTCCTTGAGTTTATTAAGATAAATTATATTTCACCATGATCAATTAAAGCATAATACAATATAAATATAATTAACATTCACTAATTTTATTTACAGGTGAAGAATGGGAAATTATGAGAGGTACTTGGTATTATGATGGTAGTTGGATACCTCTAGAATTAGAACAATCTAAAATTATAGAAGAAGTACATCTTAATCTCTTTCAAAAGCAACCTCCAGGTCAATTTAGTTCAGAATGTGATACTTCTTCTCAATCTTACAAAAGTATGTTTTTAATTATTTAGTTGAATATTTATGTCGATATAATGTAATTCTAATTAACATATTTTCTAATTCAGTATTACACACAGAACATTTCCCTGAGTTCCATGTTGATTGGCATAGCATAAATGATGTGACATTGTACAGTGAATATACACACAGTAAATTAATGCGTAGCGTTACATCAAAGCTGGGCTTTGCAAAAAGTAAGTATCTTCTCACAATTTATTCATAATGTAGTAAAGGTGTCGTCTAATATTTGTAAATGATAATTACAGCAACAGGTTATCAGCTAAGAAGGGGCTATAAAGTTGGTGCAGTAATGGAAGATAAACCTAATGATATTAATCATCTAGTATTTGTAGTCCATGGAATTGGTCAGAAAAGAGATACTGGAAAAATTATACGTAATACGACATCGTATGTAAATTATAATTTGTTGCGTATATTTATAATAAGGTTTTCAAAAAATTAATTACATTTAATATTGAAACAGGTTTAGAGATTGTGTAGATTGGTTAAAACAAAAATATTTTCCTAATTCTAATAATAGAGTAGAATTTTTCCCCGTTGAATGGCGATCTTCATTAAAGCTTGATGGTGGTAAGGGAGTAATCTATAAATTTTTTTGTAGCTATATATTTTTTTTTGCAATATATTTCATATTTTATAAATATTCTTTCAGATATAGTAGATGCTATTACGCCATATAGCGTATTAAGTATACGACATTTACTAAATACATCGGCGATGGATATTCTTTATTATACAAGTCCTCTTTATGGCGGAGAAGTAAGAGCTGGTTTACAAAGAGAGTTAAATAGGTTGTACTTTATGTTTGCAAGTCGACATCCTGGGTGGAAGGGAAAAGTGTCAATTTTAGCACATTCCTTAGGATGTGTGATTGTTTATGATATTGTCACAGGTTGGATGGGTCCAGATACCAGACCTCCATCTCCGGAAACCCAAGAAATTTTAATACAACGATTACAGTTTCCTGTAAGCATTCATTTCTAATAATGTATTATCTTACAAAGAAGTATAAAAAAAAAACCTGAGACTAAACCTTTTTGATAATTGCAGATTGAAAATTTGTTTTGTTTGGGTTCCCCGTTATCTGTATTTCTTGCGCTACGTACCCGTACGCCGTCTAATAAAACGGATGTAATGCCACAAGGTTTATGTAAAAGATTTTACAATATATTTCATTGGTCCGATCCTGTAGCTTATAGAATGGAACCTCTTCTAGAAAGAGGTTACAGCAAAATTGAACCTGTTCTTATTCCACCGTATGGAGGAGTTGAGCGTCAACAAACGGAACAGGCACCTCCAACAATGAGTAGTGCTGAAGACAATTTTTCTCCTACAGGTATATTCACTGTTTTCAGAATAATAATTTTTTAAGAATTTTATATATCTAAATTGATATGACAGAAACCGACGAAAGAGAAGAAGTTCCAGTAGATATATCTAATCGCGCTGTAGATAAGGGTTGGAGTCTTTGGGGTTTAGTGCGAGCTGGTTGGAATGCCAAAGAGGGTGTTTCTTCACCAATTCAACCAGGTCAAGGTAAAAATACCAGTTTTAATCAACGTTACAAATTGTATAATAAATATTTTATTTAAGTATTGTTTTAATATTTATTAGAATTAACGCAGCGATTGGATTACGTACTTCGAGCAAGTTTAGGAAGAAATTATTTATATACAGTAGCAGCGCATACAACATACTGGAGTAATTACGACGTAGCTTACTTTGTGTTGACAAAACTTTTCCCAACGTTAGAAACATGATGTTGGTTTGTATATTTAGTATGGAATTTTATTAGGTTCTATTGAAGTTTACTAGTCGGATGTAGGCCTTCAAAATCGAATGTTAAAAACAGGCCTACCATCAAAACAATCTGTGATAATAAAAAAAAAAAAACGATACAATAATGTAATAGATTCTATGTAATCGTTTTATATTGCTCGCATAATTTAAGATTAATGTGGTCGAGTTTCACAGTTTAAAAATTTACATATTTTTATATATTTTATGAGATAACTTGTTTACATTTAGTGTGTTAATATAACTACAGAAGTAATCTCATCTTTACTTACTAATTTTTGTTGAAAAGAATAAATTTTGCATTTTATATTGAATATGATAACATTTGTCTAGAATCTTACATTGAAAAATTGTAATTTATTTTTCTTAGTTATAATATTAATTTCGCGATGTCAACAATAAGTATAATGCTGTAATATAAATATCTTATTACAGTATACAACATATTAAAATTATGATCGCGTTATATATAAAGATTACTAAAAAAAATAATTAATAATAATTGATAATTTAGAGTAACCAATTTGTGCCGTAATAAAATTAGAAAATGTCTTTTTGTATTACGCGGCGCAAATTTTTTTTGCAAAAAGTTGTTGATATACAGCTGTAATATATGTATGTTTTATTACATACATATGTTGTTAAACAGATTTTATTTTGTTACAAATATTTATATATTTTATTAATATCAGTATAGTATATGTATGTACATGTATATAGGAAAGATAGGAAAAAAAGATACATAAAATTAATTTGATTTGTTCGAAACTAAAATTCATATTCACCAAATGTTTCTTTTATTTAACATACTAATATTTCATTTTATTATAAAAAGTGAAACTCGTCCTCCATCCTGAAAGTTTACTGGAAATACGGTAAAGAACAACTTAATTATATCGACCAAGAGCAGTGCGCAAATCAAATAAAATATCGATATTTGTCTTGTGCAGTTATCTTTGAATCTATTAAATGACAAAGTTTTCCATTAAAGTTATTTTATAGATATATTTTGTCAATGCTAATTGTAACAGTATTGTTATCGTTATTAGTTTTAGCAACAATTTTTGATATGTACAAACTTCTGTTATAACTAATTGTAATTTTTGTGTTATCAACTTTCACAAGATTCTGTTTTCATGTACTGCTTTATAATATTTTTTTAAATTTTCTATTTGACAAAAATGTTTCTTCTATTAATTTTTTACTTAGCTACAAAATTATAAACAGTGTAATACAGCAAGTATATGTATATTACTTTGTAATATTTAGTTCGAAATAACATATTAATGTAGTATATACATTGGTAGGTGCTAAGAATTTGTTGAACTATTTATAAATTGAAAAATCCGTCAATATATTCAAATTTTGATGGTTTTATCATATTTATAGAAACGACTAAATTGGTGCTGTCCATAACTAGATTCTTTTCATGGTTTTATCTACTCTTATGCGCTATTAGTAGAAACAGAAAACATATCATTGCTGAAAATAGTTATGTTTAGTATAATAATACATATTTCTCACGGATGAAGTGATATCTGCCAGTTATAATATACTACAGTAACAGCTACAAAAGAGTAGAAGAAGTAGTTTATTGTGTTTCATAACTAATAATAAGTTGGGCAGCACAGTATTAAATAGTACTTTAGAAAACTTGTATACAAATGTGTTCACATTACAATGTTACAAATTGAAACGATCAGTTTATAGAAAATTTAATAACAATGCACTTCTTAATGATTATTATATAAAATAAGGAGCTTTGTCCATAATATACAATTTGGTAGTATGACAATAATACTAAAGAATTTCTCAAATTACAATTATATCGAATTTTAAAAACAGAGCACGTAATAATACGCGTGTAGGAAACATTTTTTGAATTACTAGCGCAAAAGACGTGTAAATTGAAACTAAAATATTACTAATAAAGTATATACATTGTTATATTAATAAAGTCTCAAGTTTAATGTTTTAATAAGATATTTAATAATAACTTTAAATTCATATGAAACCAGAGTTATTAGAATATTTCATTAAAACTTATTTAACTTTAGGAATTCATTCAACAGAATTATCAACAGACTTTCTTAAATTCAAAATTTAGTACCATATACATCTTATATGAATATATTATAATATGAATATGTATGTTAATCACAACTTTTACCTTAATAAAAGAGACATTGTATGCATTCCTACATACTTAAATGTTATTATGTTACCTACAAACGTTTCTTTTTTATGCAGTATGCAAATTGTATGCACATACATAAGTAATTTTCTTGCATTTGTTGACTTTGGCATCGTTTTAAGTACTCAATATGCATAATTATGTATAATTAGAATCTATTATTAGTACCCTTGCGCAATAATAATTAAAAAAGTTTAAACTTTTCAAGTAGGGAATGGATGCATATGTAACTCGTTATCAAATAAATTTATTTTGAAACGATATAATGTATAAATATAGATTTTAACTTTTCATTATGGCTAATCTAAATTTCCAGATTTTCACGAACAAAGTAAATTGATTTATATAGAATGAAAATATTAAATTCAAGCGGGCATCAGGATTTGCCTATTTACAGGGGAAATAAGGAGAAGGAATCTCCCACCACTTGCTTAACTCGCTTTTGTTTTTTACTTGGGAAAGTGAAATAGAAGCAGCAGTAGAAATCAGCCATCCTCTTCTCACACATAGAAAACGAGCGAGTCGGGTGAGTAGTGGGAGATTCCTTCTCCTCCTTTCCCATATAATTGAGCGAATCCTAGGGCTTGTAACTGCAACTTGCACCTCCGTATTTATGCGCATTTCAAGAAAAAATTATTCAATATTTTATTTTTAAGTGATCTTGCACTTTGAACTGTAAAAAAAGGTGTTATATAATTGATAAATATAGTTGAATAATAAAATTTGACTATACTTCGTAACAGAAATTGTATTCATATGCCGGACAATACCTATTCCAATTGCCGGTGTTCACGATGTGATTTGTATAATGTACAAATAACGTTTTTTTAATCAAAAAAAGTAGATTTTATATTCACAATTTCTAAAAGTCATGTTTTTTTTGTAAAACTGACGAACTGGTTGTACTGTGCATATATAGATGTTATGACATTAACGTATGATAAACGTGAAAGATTCATATGATTTGGAATACTTCATATGAGAAAACACAAGAAATAACGGTATTTTATTAAATATATTTATATAAATTAGTTGTGTAACTTTAATATAAGTGTTTTTGAGTGTGTTTATGCAAAATTTGTTTAACAAACGTATAATTATGTACAAGTATATTGTGTGACATATTTATTAACATATATATTATATTTACAGCATAATGAACCATATACAAAATAGTAATTTAATTGCTGCTGCCATCGGTGTGACCGTTGGTGTTATAAGTGCAGCTGGTATTTTTATTTATCATAAAATTTTGGAAAACCAACAGCATACCAGTACAGTTGGTAATTTAGATGCTGCTAATAAAAAGATTGTTGAATTGCAAAAAGAGTTGGAAGCATTAAGGTATATTTTTAAATATAAATACTTATTATTTAATACTTATTAAGTGTTACTTAAACTTAATACATATCACTACTTTCTTTTACTCAAGGTTACAGCAAAGTCAACAAAAGAAGAAACGAAAAATTTCACGAAAATTTACCTCAAATGACAGCACTTATACAGTAACAGATAATGACACAGATATCGATGCCTTTTCCACAGCAGACACAGATATTGGTGATGATGAATTCTATGACTGCTCTGATAGCGAAAGTGTTATTGGTGATAATGATATGAGGTTAGTTTAGTAGTACAATTACGTATAATATAAATCAGTTGAAGTTATATGAATAGCACGTACGAGAATCTGTAATTTATTCTAGTAAAAATGTGAATCCACTTCCTGAAGAAAAAACATCTTAAGAATATTCCAATTGTAATGTTTCATTCATGATTTAAAGCATGATTACTTGTACTAATTTGGAAAGTTAGAATTTGATCGTTTTGGCAAGTAAAATTTATTTTAAAAATGTAGAAGGAAGAGATTATATGTTCAAAATATAGGATCTCAGAAGAACTGAACCAGCTGGATGTAATTCTGAAGGAGATCGACGAAGATGTGAGTGAACAGTTTAATATCAATGTATACTATAAGCTACAGACACTGGTAAAATCTCATGAAGATAATGTAGAAGTAGTATGGAGATTCGCGAGAGCTTGTTACGATCATGCAGAGGCCGTAAACGATACAAATATTAGAAGAACACTACTCCTTGAAGGTGAATATAAAATATAATTTCATCCTATAATACAATAAAACTAATAATTTATTATTACAGGAATTGAACACTGTGAGAAAGTTATTGAAGTTCAAAATCCTCATTTATTCAAGTGGTATGCTATACTTGTAGGATTAAATGGAGATTATTTATCAACAGCTGAAAAGATAAAGAATGGTGTTCGGTTTAAAAATTATGTAGAAATGGCCTTAGACATGCGGCCGAATGATTCTGAATTGCATTATCTTTTAGGAAGATTTAAATACGAAATAGCCAATTTAAGTTGGCTTGAGAAAAAGGTTTATTTTATGATTTTAAATATTAAATAATATTGAATGTTTGTTCGGAAATTTTCAGTAATCTTTTCATTTTTGTGTAGGTAGCGGCAACATTATTTTCCGAAGTTCCAAGTGCTTCTTATGAAGAGGCAATTGATCGTTTTGAAACGGCAGCAAAGCTTGGACATAAAACCCCACAATCGCAATTATATATTAGCAAGTGTTATATTGCATTAAAGCAATATTCACGTGCAGTTGATTGTTTAAAAGAAATTTTAGATCAACCCTCATTAATAACTGAGGATGAAAAAGTACACGCTGAAGCGAGTAAACTTTATAACAAATATTTTGGATATTGTTCATAGCAACAAAAAATGTATCTGTACATCCCATTTGCATTTAGTAGTCGTGCTACCCTTTCTATCTTTCTCGCATACGCGCGCACGTACACGAAAAAAGAAATAACAAAATATAGCCTATTCTAAACAGTAACATTAAATAGCTTGTAACAAATGATTATATGAAACACAAGTACTATAAAACTTTGGAAAACATTTTATCTACTATAGCAGATATTACAAACATTTTATTTAAAGTTTTGTGAAAAAAATGTAATTTGTAAACATTTGTATAAGAAAGTACATATTAGTGGTGGAAAATTTTGTAAATGGTTAGCGATATGTACCTTATTTGTATAAGTTAGTAAATAACATTTTATATACATATACATATTGATTGAGGCTACTGGATTTAGTTATTTTCTTAAAAACGGTTCGTAGAATTTATTACTGTTGATATTTATTATATAAATTTTCTAAATAATACTTATATATGATAAGAGTAATGACACATTTTTATATAGTTAAATTGCAGTAACTTTTCTGAATATTTTTTATTGAACATTCCATTAAAAATATTTCATTAAAATTATAATTGAAATCAATTTTTGTTAATGTTTATATAATCTATGCAATGCGTAGTAGCTGGTGTGATGTTAATTAAAAATTCTTATGTTGGGCTTAAAATATTCAAGGAAGATATTGATAAATAATACGTTTGATTATATAAATATGAAACAATCGTTTTTAAGATACTTTACAATGTTTTCATTATTGCAATTGAAATTCTGTATTAGAAAAATTTAAATATAAAACTGGTATTAAAAATTTTTAATATAATCAACTACAACCACTATGTACAATGACTAACTTTACTTCTTTAACATAATAATTTAAAGGAAAAATTTATAGGGGAAAAGCTGAAGTTTTATAGAGAATTATGAACATTTCCCTTGTTTTAGCAGATCAATAATGGTCCAACACAGCATCCCAGAGCTCAGTAGGCATTGGGTGGAGAATGGGGTGAAAGGGGTAAAGTATAGAGAAGCCCCTCTAGTAAGATAGAAGAGAAGCCAGAGAAAACATTTGAGAAAGAGTTAGTGGACACTGAATGCTTGAAAAAAGTGGTTCATTCAGAATATACACATGATCAAGTAAGTTCTATTATTTAAATCATAATTATATTTTAATCTGTGTAATGTATTTTATTTCCATCCTTTGTTAAGTATTTATAAATTCATAGGTATTTTATTATTAATAAAACATTATTTCTTTTAGTTTTTACATTGTAATTCAATAATATGATATAGATCTCTGCTAAAGACATTTGAATAAAAACCTAATTTCAATTTTCATAAGTACTCTTATACATGACATATATAAACAAGTATTTTATTATGTTTTCTTTTAGATATATAAGACACAGTTTAAGATGCGTGGACTTATACGTGGAACTTTATACTGTGCACTATGGTATGGCAGTGTAGTAGCTGGTTTTTTATTTATTGCTTGCCCTATGTTACCACTGTTATTCTTTAGTCCTCCGAAATTTCGGAAATGCGGTGATCGTTTGTTTTCCTGTTGGGAACTTTATTCTACAGTTAGTAAAAATATAGTACAATAAAATAACTTATCCTAATTTCTTACTTCTTTAAGTTTAAACGTATACTATATAAATAAAACAATGTTTTTAAAAATATTTTAGGCTCTTTTAAAAATATTCGGTGTAAAAATTTTGGTGTCAGGAGATCACATATCCCCAAATGAATCAGCTATACTTGTTATGAATCACAGGACACGAGTAGATTGGAATTTTTTATGGGCTGCAATGTATCAGGCTTGTTTGCCTAGTATAGCAACCCATAGATTGAAATTTGTTTTAAAGGATCCTATACGACATATTCCAGGCCCAGGTAAAGTGATGATAATAATAACAAAATACTAATCCTATAAAACAATGCATAGCATTTTATAGAATTATTTTATAACAGGATGGATAATGCAGATGAATGGTTTCCTTTATATAACTCGTCATTGGGAAGAAGATCAAAGCCGACTATCACGTACCTTGGATTACTTAGTGGCCCTAGATAGACGTTCTCAATTACTTATATTTCCAGAGGGAACTGATTTGACTAAAACTAGCAAAGAAAAATCAGACAGATACGCTTTGCAACATGACCTACCAAAATATTCTTTTACGCTTCATCCGAAAACGACAGGATTTAGTTATCTAGTACAGCACCTTCAACAAGCAGACTACCTTGACGCTATATATGATTTAACTATCGCATATCCAGATTATATTCCGCAATCCGAATTAGATTTACTCAGAGGTAAACTGCCGAGTGAGGTACATTTTAATATTAAACGAATACCATCATCAGATATGCCAACACAAGAGTTGACACTAAGACAATGGTTAGAAGAAAGGTGGTCCAATAAGGAGGAAGTCTTGAAACAATTTTATGAAGAAAAGACTTTTCCTTCTGAAATTTGGCCATTAACAAGACTGCTTCCTTTACAAGTTGCATTTGGTTTCTGGAGTATTTTAACAGGTATCATTTTTTATTAATCGTTACAAATCCATAGTAATAATTTATAGGAATTCATGGTATTATTTCTGTTTCAGGTGCTGCAGTAATTTTACTTGTCATTTCACCATTGTTTCAATTATGGGCATTGATTCATTCAACTTTCTTTGTTGCTCTATCATTCTTCACTACTGGTTTTAGCCAACTTGAAATTGGATGGTACTGGCGTTGGAAAACGCATTTATTAACAAAAATGTGTAGTTATTAAAATTCAAAGAGCGATATTTAATGTGAGTACACTTCGTTATTAAATTAAAGTGTTCATTTTTTTTCGTGACATTGCAGTAATTGCTATATTATATGGTATATGTAGAAACACGTATTTGATAAAAGCGAATCTAAGTGGATTAACATAAAAACAGATTGCTTTTTAATACTGACTGAAATACTTACATTCTGTGCAACAATAATCATATTATTCTAAAATTATAAAACGAAGGTATTAATATAACGTACAAACTGAAAAATGATGCAACTGGTAAAGTTACAATAAATTTATTGAAATGTTATAATCGAACTTAGCCCTCTGTAGATTATTTGATTAAAAAATAAGTAGTATATGTATTATACATTTTGAAATTCTAGACGGACAAAAAGTTATTAAAATAATTTTGTGATTTCCTACTTTGTGATATTTCTTGACAATATCGATCAATTACATCTTTTTTTTGAGAATACAGTTTAATTTATATATTAGTATAATACAATATTGTGAACTATAGAGGGTTGAAATCAGTTGACAAATTTTTTAAACAAAAATATTTTAACACACATACAATGGAATAACGTATGTATTCAGTATTAATATATATGTGATGCAGTTTCAAATTACAGAAACATTTTTTCAGAATCACTGTCAAATTTTTCTGTAACTTGGAAATACCTGATGTTTATGCATGGAATTATGTGTAAAAAATAATTAGTACATAAATAGTAGATATAAATAGTCGAGATTCTAGATATCGTGATTGATTCAAAAACGTTGATTTAATACTAACAACAATCAGTTTTGAATTAAATATATTTTTACAGTCATTTTTAAACTTTATAAATATAACTGTACCAAAATATTGAATGGCTTTTTGTTGAAACTTTTATGAAGTGGAGTGGACTCCAATAAATTTTTGAGGAGACAGATTTTCTTTGCTATTAGTAATCTGTATAGTAGCTTTTAAATGAAGTTAGTTTTTGACATCTACAATTTTATGAAAATCTTTGATATGTCTCTATAATAATTTCAACATTATAGATGAATATTCTTTTGAATATTCCTTCTGAATTAAAAAAAAAAGAATATTAAAATCAACCTAGCTAACAATGAATACAGTGCCTCATTATCTCATATTCCAGAGCACAAATGTAAATATGTGTCTTAAAAAAATTACTAATGGGAAAAATTTCTAAATATTAAAAAGTTTTAAAATTCGAGGTATGAGATAGTTATGCACTTTCTTAAATAATTATTCTTCAAATGCATTTTAATAATATATGGTTTTTAGTTTATTTGCTAAATGAAACAACATAATAAATTTCATTATGTATTCATTTAATAAAATTAATCGTAAAATAAAAATATGTAATTAATGTAAGTATTTGAATGAAATGTATAGTACAGGATAAAAATGTTTAATGTATAACTGTAATAGCAGGTGAAACTCTATTTTTCTATAGCAGTATGGAAGTTCTAAATATAAGTAAAAGTGAATTCATGTGCCAAAACGATACGTGTATTAATCTACCTTTATGAATGTTATTCAGAAATAATAGAGAAATAGTAATTTCGAAGGCGTATTTTAAGGGATGTTTATTCAAAACATTGTCAGTTTTTAATTATCAAATTGATATTAATGTAAGTTTTATTTGCACTATTCAGTAGAATAGTACAAAGAATTTTGATGTTATCAGATTGTTCACAAATTGTACTCTATGTTTATTGTATAGTGTAAAAAATTGTTCTAGTCAATGAAATTAAAAATTTAGATTTACTGTATATCCTTATAAAAATTAACAGAATCAAAATAATATAAGTTTCTCACTGTATTTCGTATAGTGACAAATATAAAGTTTTATTGTTGTATAAATGTGTACGAAATTAGTATAGAATTGTGTAAATAAATAAGACATATATATATAATGTACTCTTGTATCATCATTTAGGTTCAGCATTTATTTGCAACAAGACCGAAAAATTATTAGAATAATTATTTGACAAACTTATATGTTGAAAAGACCGCCTAGAATGAAGTATTTTTAAAGTTCGACTACTGCGCCATCTATACAAAAGCGGCAGAAACTACTCAACAAATTACCGACTTATCGACTGAACTTCCGACAGTCGGTAATCGTCCCTTCGGCAGTTGGTAGGTTAACGAATAGTTTGCGCCGCTTTTATATAGATGGCGCAATGGCCGATGGGTTGGGGTGTTAAGGACCCCGAAGCACGGATGATGCTCTACATATCGACATTATGGCATCCGGGGTATCAGGGACCCCGATGCATCGATGGCGCTTTCTGCATACCGCTCTTATATTATCTTGGGGTGTCAGGGACCTCAGATGATTCGATCTGCATACCGACATATCATTCTGGGGTGTCAGAGACACCGATGACTGCATACCGATATATCATCCGGGGTGTTAAGGACCCCGATGCATCGATGGCGCTCTCTGCATACCGCCTTGGTATCATCTTGGGGTGTCAGGGACCCCGAAGCACAGTCGACACTCTACATATATACCAACATTATGGCATCCGGGGTATCAAGGACCCCGAAGCCAAATTTATGTAAGATTGTGTAAACACCTAACATCGGAAATCGGAATAAACAAAAGCAGGTTCATTAAAGAGAATAAGAAAATGCAATAACTGTTTTGGAATTCATCTATTTATTTGCTTCATTAACAGATAATCATATATTTTTATGACTAAATCAAATATCTTAAATAATCTTTCTTTTATAAAATGGATTTATAGGGCTTGGTATAGGACTTGCTTTTAGAACGCCCGCACTTGGTTTTCTGTTTGCATCAAACGGTATACCTGGACTTTTTTGAATCTGTAAAATATATTCAGATGTATGTTGAGCTGTATTACGTTGAAGAGCAATTTTCACTCGTTTTTTAGGGTTTGAATCAGCACTTATTTTATGTCGCATTTTCGCGCTTGTTGTTCTCTGTAATGTAAAAAAATATTAAGAAATAAATACGATAATTTAAATTAAGTTAATTAAATAATACAGGATGTAAGTTAAATAAATAACATTCAACTTACACTCTTTTCATTTTCTAATTTTTTTAATACGGGTACTAACCACGTTGGTTGTTTGGTCAATATATTATTTTTTTCACTATTCGAATCACTTCCATTACTTAGTGATAACGATGAAGATGAATCTATATTATCAGAAACATCCCATTTGTCAGAAATTGTAAGCATCGTTGACTTCTTCCTTTTGACCGGTGAAATATTTAAAATACTTGCACTCGTAGTTTTATTTCCTTTTAATTTTAACTTTTTACATTTCTTGACTAAAGGTGGTGATTCTTTTTTAAATTTACAATTACTATTCTTTCGAATCATTTCTGCTGTATTACATTTTTTATTCTTCAAATCAATCGTGTCTTCATTTGATTCTTCTGAATTTATTAAATTATCGGTATCACTCATTTTAGATTGTACCTTCTTTTTCTTTTTTACAACTTTTTCATTTACTTTTGTAGTACTATTTTCAGCATTAACATTTTCCAACCCTTCTTCGGTGGATTCATCTTTCTCGTCTTGTATCAGTTGTTCATTTTGTTTCCTTTTAAGTTTTTGTGGCTTATCGGAATACAGTTCTTCTTGAAATTCTAAAAACCGCTTTGCAGCTAACTTTGTATTCGTATCTCTTTTCCGCATTTCCGGAATTACTACTTCCTTCACACCCACTGGCATTTTACCTTGTGATAATTCTTCAAATCTATAAAACGTATATTATTAAAAAATGTAATACCCTCCTGTTTTTTTATACAAATAATACCTACTCATTAATCAGACGTCGTAGTTGTCTACGCGACCTTGCTGTCGACGAAGGATGAAACTTATATTGAGCTAATAATTCAGCAATCTTTTTGGGATTGAAAAGTATCTGTGGTAATTCAACGTCTACTCTACCAGCTCTTGGATCTAATGGTTTGTTTATGTGACACTGATTTTGAAAAGAATTCTCTTCTTCTACTTCATCATTACCTTCTATTTCCTCATCAGATACTTCAATTTTATCCATGACATCAATAGAACCAGTAGGAAATCCTGCCTATATAAGAATAATGATACATAGTTACGAAGCAACTATCAGTCTTAATAATTTCGATTTTTCAATACTCACAGCTCTCCAAGCTTTAAATTTGTCCATATAATCCATGCCAATATCTGACTGAAAGATTAAATATCTAAAAATATGTTTCATAACATGCCCAATTCGTCTTCCATCATCCATCCTTATAAAATATGTAACAAACGGTTTTATAAGTACTGTAACCACATCTTCTGATATGTTTCCTTCACTGATCTATAAAATTATATATTTTCAGTTAGATATTTATTACATTTAATATTTAATAACTTTTTAAAACTATATACCTTTGCAAGTTCTTCTAAGAACACCTCTGTTAAATGCATGTTAAATCCAATACATACTTGTGGATTGATCAAACAATTTTCAATTATTTCAGAGATATCTTTTATCCATTCCATATCCCAATTTTGGTTTTTACACATTTGAAATGTTTGCCTAATTACCCTCCTAGCCAGCTATAGGAATAAAGAATATTTAAACATACGATGACATTAAAAGTTTATCAAATAAAATATATATTGTAATATTTACCATGGAAAATTTATCTAACCTATACTGATCTATACCAATCCATTCTATACCTAATGTTTCTAGAGCACATGTAGTATATAACAATACTACATCCTTAGAATTGAAACAGTGCACCAATTTACTAAGAGATTCTGCTAATTCTTCTTGAATCAGTGGTTTATCCGACATCCACATACAATAGAATAAGCCTTTCCATAATCGCATAAAATCTAATTTTGTAAATGCTAAGAAAGAAACAATATTAATGACAGTGATATCAATTTAATACATTTTCAATTTCAATTAATACTAAAAATTAACTTACCGAAAGAACTTACAGATCGAACTGTCAACCATTTTCTTAAATTTTTCAGTACTCTCTCTCGGACTCTTTTATCATTACTTGATAATAAACGAACGAATTTAATTTCTTGAACAATAACAACTACCTTTTTATCTTTTACATCAGTTGGAGTTACTTGTTTTTTCTCCTTCTGTTGTACTTGTTGCACTGCTTTTCGTAATGATGCACGTGCATTCCGCTGCACCTTTTTAACCGCCATTCGTAAAAGTAACAAATCTTTTTTAATATACAATTATTTTTAGTTTACAATTGTTTATTTATAGCCTATATTTATGTTTATACATAACTGTGGGACACAGTACGAGACACTCGAAATTGCATTGCTTTTATCAATAACATAAACCGAACGTCCATCGTGGGTTCAGGTTCAAGTCCTCTAAACTAACGTATTTCGTGCCTAACCTGGTCACCACAAATAAAAAAGACTGGTTATGATTTTAGGGATCCTAGACACCCCGAGGGTGTTGAGGAGGCTGATGGCGCATGCGCAGCGATATATAAATTAATCTTGTGTATCCCTTGCAATCCTTGTACTTATATACATTCCTTGCATGCTTTGCTTATCCGTTGCACGGTTTGCATCCTTTGCAACCTTTACATCCCTTGCATGCTTTGCTTATCCGTTGCACGGTTTGCATCCTTTGCATCCTTTACATCCCTTGCATCCTTTACATCCCTTGCATGCTTTGCTTATCCGTTGCACGGTTTGCATCCTTTGCATCCTTTACAATCATTGCATCCTTTACATCCCTTGCATGCTTTGCTTATCCGTTGCACGGTTCGCATCCTTTGCATCCTTTACATCCCTTGCATCCTTTGCATATTCGTTGCGTATCCACTGCATCCCTTGCATATCCTTTGCATCCTTTGCATATCCTTCGATCTAAATTTTTTCGAAAAATAGCGCCCTCTAGCGGCAAAAATGCGAACTAAAATCTCGACGTCGAATCAGCGCCATCTGGTGTCGAAAAAAGGAACTAAACCAGGCTCCATTTTTGGCCCTCTAGCGGCAAAAATGTGAACTAAAATTTCGATGTCGAATCAGCGCCCTCTGGTGGCGAAAAAAGGAACTAAATCATGCTCCGTTTTTGGCCCTCTAGCGGCAAAAATGCGAACTAAAATCTCGATGTCGAATCAGCGCCCTCTGGTGGCGAAAAAAGGAACTAAACCACGCTCCATTTTTGGCCCTCTAGCGGCAAAAATGCGAACTAAAATCTCGACGTCGAATCAGCGCCCTCTGGTGGCGAAAAAAGGAACTAAATCATGCTCCGTTTTTGGCCCTCTAGCGGCAAAAATGCGAACTAAAATCTCGACGTCGAATCAGCGCCATCTGGTGGCGAAAAAGGAACTAAATCATGCTCCATTTTTGGCCCTCTAGCGGCAAAAATGCGAACTAAAATCTCGACGTCGAATCGGCGCCATCTGGTGGCGAAAAAAGGAACTACTTACCTTTACTTACCTTTACTTACCTTTACTTATCTTTACTCGAATCAGTCTTTATAATATATTTATTATATGGGATGCAGAGATGTAAGGAATGTAGGGATGAAAGGAATGTTGGGATGAAAAGAATGTAGGGATGAAAAGAGTGTAGGGATGAAAAGGGATGCGCATTTCAGTTTAAAGATGGATGCAAAGGATGCAAAGGATGCCAAGGGTATGCAAAGGATGCAAGGAGTGCACGGAGTGCAAGGAATGCAAGGAAGGCAAAGGATGCAAAGGATACGGAGATGAAAGGAAGGCAGTGATGTAAGGATACAGGGATACAGTGATTTAATGGTAGTCACCGCAAGGCTCATAAAAAGAATGAAGAAATAAATATCTGTGAAGGGAGGCCTTGGTCCATAAAGAGGTGTAGGATAATAAGTAGTTAGGGAGCGTGGGTCTTGGCCCATAAAGAAGGATAAAATAATTAATAACTGGAAAAAATGAAATAAAAGGAATGGTCGGCCGAAACCCAAAAATGGGATAAAATCATAAATACCCCTTTGATGAGCTTATTTAATAAGCAAAGAAAATAAATAAGGTAAATTAAATAAACTCCGAGAGGAAATTAGAGGTATATGTATGTTTGACAAGTTGATCCGCATCCCTCGGCTGTCGGTATAGAACTAAGGAGGTCTTTCTGATATTGAGAAGTAATTACTCAAGTAAATAAATAAATAAATAACTGAGAAGAGAAATTACGGAGATTAGATAAATAACTTAGAAATTAAATTTAGAATCAAAGGGAGTGAAAATTGGATCTTTTGAGATGTCAGTCTGAGGCGCGGTAAAAAAGGGACTAGTAAAACACATACGATTATCATACCGGCTGTGCTCTCTACGTGCAGATATAATTTCATCTTGCGGTGTCTGGAACCCCATAAATCATGACCTTTCGAAAACAGAGGCATGCTAGTCTTGTTGGATCTACAGTCACTGGTTACAGCACGAAATACGGTAGTTTGGAGTACGTGCATGGGTTACAAAACTTAACGTGGAGCGCTTTCAGTTCTACCAATAGTAATCGTTATAAATTTTATTAGATTTTTAATTGAAAATACTAACTTTCTTTTAAATTAGGAACAGAATGTTGCACATAAATAGTTTTCCAATTATTCTATACAATTACACAACTCATTGAAAATTGTTTACTTGATTCTATATGTGTGTATTTTTAATCAACTAGAAACTGGACTTAATAATCTCTTCAGCATTTTGGCGAAATATCTAAATGCAAGAAATTAATGCACCTGACGCGCAACTTTTTTCCTCAGAATGAAAGATTATATTAATATTCTGTAAACAATATCGTTGTACGTTTATGTTCAATAAATCAAACAACGATGAATAAGGTACAATTTTGTTTTCGATCATTGGAAAAGAAATTAACAATTTTGATAATTTACAAAGAACAATTTTTAGAATTTCATTATTATTTTTTTAAGTATTTCTAAATATTTCATTGTATATTATGAACGCATGTTTATTTAACATAAGCTGATTAATTTAGATTAATATAATTATATAATTATATAAAAAACGTAAATTGATTTTGACATATAAATTAAAGAATCATTAAAAATGTTTGTGTACATTCGTGATATTTAAACATATTCTTTTTAGATGCCACGATATCCATCAGATTGTAAAGTCTATGTAGGAGATTTAGGAAGTAGCGCAACAAAAGAAGAATTAGAAGATGCATTTTCTTATTATGGATCATTAAGAAATGTATGGGTAGCCAGAAATCCACCTGGATTTGCTTTTGTTGAATTTGAAGATGCCAGAGATGCAGAAGATGCGATAAGAGGACTGGACGGAAGAACTATATGTGGAAGACGAGCCCGTGTAGAACCATCCAATGGTAGAAGATTAAGAGACAGAGGATATTTCAGAAGAGGTATCGGAAGATTATTTCATCCTGAAGACAGATGTTATGAATGTGGCGAAAAAGGTCACTATGCTAGAAATTGTCAACGTCTTAGAAATATTCGTAAAAAGAGGTAAGTATTAAAAATAATTGTTTGAAGTAAATCTTTATGGCATGCAAAAAAATATCAGACAAGTAAGCAAGAAATATATATGATACATAATTTTGTTTAAGAATGCTTAAATGTACAATGAGATTAATTCAAAGTAATAATATTTCTGTAAAGTTCAGATTTGAATATCCTCGATGCAAGTATTTAACAGTACTTAAAAATATGTTTGTAACATGTAATAGTACTTTGTAATAACAGATAGTACAAGTTATACAGTATCAAGAATGATACTGATGTAATACTGCCCATTTTTATAGGAGATGCAGCTGAACAGGCATACACATGAGAAATGTGTTGCTACTGAGATTCTCGTGAGATTCGCCTTGGGTTCGCTTTGTGACGCTACGTAGTTACAGCGTAGAATTCTACGAGCAACAGGGGGAAACTTGGCCGATGGAGTGGCTAGTTCTGCAAACTACAATTCTAATTAACATCACCTTAAACTGAAAGCTTTTGAACATCAGTGTTAACGGTATCTCTGGTGTATTTTTTTTTTTTTGTAGCGTCACTGTTTCTACCGAATTATTATGATAGATCTAGTGGTCACTGAGAAACTAACTTTGAACCATCTCATCTAGCCACTCTTCGTCCATACATCTGATATTAATGTACTTTCATCTGCATAACTGCTCATCTGTTCCTCTTTCCTGGTATTATCATTACATATTATACACTTATTTGCAAAGAGAGTACATAAATAATATTAGAAAGGAATAAGCATTATCGATTCTTTATATTGTTATACAAATTGTAAAAAGTTTACAAGATATTGACATTTAAGCAATTGAAGACTGGAAATCAGTATAGCTGGATAATGAAGACTGACTAAAAGAAAGAAATTATTATATACATAAATTTTCACGTTTACTATTTTTATGTGAACATGAAATAAATTGTATATTTACATTTTTCCTGAGTACTTGTCATAATTTTTGCAAGCCCAATAATTTGCTAAATCGTATCAAATATATTTTATATTATGTTTATGGTAGAAATACAAGATAATTAAATTCAGAAAAAATTTATAACATTGCAGACCGTTGTGATACAATTATTATTTTAATAAAACATTTATTTTAGATCTTACTCGAGGTCTTATTCACGGTCAAAATCACAATCAAGATCACGGTCTCGTTCACGTTCTCGTTCAAGATCAAGAAGTAAGCATTCAAGATCTTCGTCCCGTAGCCGTTCTCATAGTAGAAGCGACTATGTCAAAGAAAAACGTCGTAATAAACGGAAATCCGATTCCAAAGATAATAGTCCGCGCAGAAGTAGATCTAAATCTGTTTCTAGATCTCGCAGCAAATAATATGGTGTGTATTCTTTTAAAAAAAAAGTCGTTTTTATGTTGGTAATTATTCGTTCTCTCAATTACAATGTTTTAAACATAATTTCGTTTAATCCTTTGAAACGTATATGCATTTAAAGTATGTCATTTATGTACTCGTATTATTGTTAACAATTACTAAAACAAATTAAAGTATTAATACACACCTTAAGCATTTATAAAGTATTTATCAAGCATTTACTTTCATTTTTATTCTTGCTAGAAGTATTTACAATGATAGTAGTAGAAATTACTTTTTTTAAATACGTTCTGTATTAATCATTCTTTCTATATTAGAAAGATCTGATTTTTTAATTCTAAAAATATATAATTTTTATCATAATAATATTAAAGAATTCATGACTATCAAATGTAATGCACATCGCTTCTGAAACTAATATAAATGATACCGTCTACGAGGATACGTTGCATACTTAAGGAATGTTTAAATTCCCAAGAAGCAATACCTATATGTTACGTCGGATCGTAGAGAGGTAAGGAAAATCAGAAAGTGGGGTAAAGAGTGAAAAAAGAAAAGAATACGTAGCGATGTATGTAATTTCTTGTTCATACGATCTTTTGTAGCGAGTCGAGAAGCCTTGTAAGTTATTTAAAATATCTTCATACGTACGAACTACGTTTTAAAAAACTCATACTTTTATTTTTCAGTATACGTTATTTACCTCAACTATTAAAAAATTCAACATACAGTAATATAACTTTTTAATCTTGTTCTCTATTTCTTAATTAACAGTTTGCATGAAATATGGTTCCAGTATTTCGTTTAATTTATTCCAAACAGTGTGAAATTAACTACACTTGATTTTGAATGTGACTTGTCAATCTTTTAAAATATATTATAATTACCATTTTTATAGAAAGATAAGTTGTATCTAAATGATAGGTAAGGTTTTACTATGTTTTACAAGGCATGTGAGTGCAATAATTTAAAAAATTATTTAAACAGTACATTCTGCATGTTAAGCGGGTAACATTTTTGTTTTATATTTTAATACCGCTAAACTTTGTATTAAAAATGTAACAGAAAAAGGATTTCTTTTTTCTAGAAGAGTACAATTTATAAAATAGTGGAATGAAAAGGTAAATATGTTCTTTCTGAAAGTCATAAAAATTTAAAAGAACAAATAAAAATATGTATTATATAAATTAATGTATTTAAATAAAAATAACATTTGAAATTCACTTTCTAGGGTATCAGATATATAGAAAATTCCTTGGATCCACCGCTGGAGGGTTTTAAGAAGTGGGGTAAGGTGTAAGGGTGGGGAAACTTAAGAAGAAGGAGAGGGGAAGCATAGAGATCTGTAGCGACGCTTCGTAAGCACTCATTTGGTTTTCAGTCACGTATTTGTGATTCAACGGTCTGTTTTATGAGTTGTTTTTACGCTTATATATTTATACAACATTTATAATTTGCACATCTTGATCGTATGCTTGATAGTACATCAAAGAAAGCAATGAAAAGAACAGGAATATTGAAATACAAAAAAAAAGTAGTAGCAATGATTTTAGTAAAGTAGATCACGGTGTGAAGCTATCCTGTTAAAAAGCGTCGAGCCAATTACCCGAGAATCAGGTTCAATTAAAAGGCGAGCGACAATCGTCACGATGACTGCTGCATACACGAACAATTCTACCAGCCAGGAACAAAACGTAGAGACAGCCGGTATAATTAATAAAACATTGAACGGCAAGAAAGAGCAAGTGACGCCTGAGGAAAACACTGAAATTACTTCAGCAGAAATGATAAAGGTTGCAACAGGTGGCCAGGATCAACAAGAAATCCCTGTTAATCAGGAGAGATCTTCGCTTTGCGTAGAAGAATTAAACGAACAGAAAGATGAAGACAGCGGGGAATATAAGAAATCTATTGAAAATCGCGAATATCTCGACGATACCGACGCAAACGAAGATGTGATTTCTAATACGAATGAAATGAAAAATGAAGTGTCGAAGGATTGTGAGCCGAGTGCTTCGAAATCGCTCTCTAATTTGAAAGTCGAGGCTTTTCTCATCGAGTGTGACTCTCAAGACGCGATGTCGAGAACACGTGGAAACGATTTCTATCCGAAGGATAGTTTCAAATTACAAGAACTGCAGACCTCGGTGGAGAATATTATTACAGAGACAAGCGATATTTCGAATAATCCTGAAAGTTATAACGGATCGTTCGAGGATATTGATATATTTAACGATCCCGACGAGACATACGATCCGGAAAGTGAACTGAATTTTCACGAAGCCGTACGTGCAGGGAACGCCAAGTGCATCGCGGCGCTTCTTGCAAGTGACTCGGTACAAAACCTGGACGAACCGGATTGGAATGTTTCAGGTGATCCACCTCTGCTAGTGGCTGCTACAAATCATTGTTTGCCCGTTCTTAGGTAAGAAATTTTACCCGATAAGTTAAATAGTCCTCAAATTTTTCACTCTTCTAATATTTCTTTCTGCAGGATTTTTGTAATATTATAAATATTTTGATTGAATTCGAAAAAGAAAAAAAAAAAAAATTCTGATAATATAAAAGACAAAAATTATTGTTCTTGTTTCACAATGTATTAAATAAAAATTCAAATATTTTACAGGGATAAGTTGAACGATCTAATTTTATCGATTTTACCGAATTCTAATTTTGTCCTTTCGATTCTACCGGGGAATCTGCTGACGTCGTAAAAAAATATCCGAACATCGAAATCATTTCGCGTAGTTTTACTCGTGAATCATTCTTAAGAATTTTTACCGTGGAAGTTGCTGAATATTCGTGAAAAGGTTTTTGCTTACACGCCACACTATACCTTTCTTGCACCATACTGTTACCAGATGTTCGAAACTGTTCTGTTCCCGAAAGAGTTTTCGAATCTAATTTCACAGATACGCGAAGAAAAAAGAATTTTTTCACAAGAACAATATAAAATCATAATTTTGTAATCTATATAAAATATCGTTTCAATAATTTAATAAATAATTTAAATAAAACCTATTTTCCAAATAAAAATATATTACAATTTGAATTTGATAAAATGAAGAGTAAATAAAAATTAATAATAAAATGTTTAATTCATAGTTTACTACTTGCGAACGGATGTGATCCAGCTGTGCGTTCCCCTCGAGGTGAAACAGCGCTTCATCGAGTGATCTTAAATGGAGGACCAGGAAACGTATTACAATTCGTGGGAGAACTTCTGAAACATGGTTGTCCGTCAGGCGTTAAAGAAGCTGGAGGTGGTCTGACTGCGTTGCACGTATTAACTAGACAATTAGCTCATGCTCAAGGATCGAAGAGTTTACATCATAACTTCGAAGCAGCTCTAAAGACCCTTGATTTATTAGCACGCGCTGGCCCGGTAAACGCGAAGGATCACCAAGGCCGTAGCGCCCTCCATATTTTAGCTTCCTCCACTATCTTCGGTACCAATAATCCTATATATTAGAAATCTATAGCTACAATGCTGAAATATTATTTTATTTAACCCTGCTGCCTCCCTTTGAGTTTATACGACCCCTAATGAAAATTACATTTTCATATTACCTTTTATAATCCTTAACAGCAGGGTTAAAGTAGACACGTTGAATTGCAGAAAATAATATTTCTCATTTTCATTTCTGTACTTCGTCCAACTGATACACATCTGTTCACTTACAGACAACAACCACAGAACAGAAATTGAAGCGTTAATTGAAACATTGTTGGCTGCTGGCGCCGATCCCTCATTGAAGAACGACCGTGGAGAAACTCCTTTACACGAGTGCCTTGAGTGCGGTGCTTTAAACATCGCGTTTTTACTTATATCGCATACACCGGCCGGTATAATGTCACGTTATGGCGAAACTCCGTTGCACATTGCCTCTAGAAAAAATTATGTCGACATGGTTGCAAAATTGTTGGAACACGGAGAGGATCCTAGTGTACAAGATGCCGGTGGTAATACACCGTTGCATCTAGCTTCTGCGAGAGGTTTTCATCAAACTGTTTCTCTGTTAGTTACGTCGCCACTTGCACAACTAGAGAAACTCAATACCGAAGGGTTGACTGCCCTTCAAGTAGCCGCTGAAAGTGGTTTCGTTAATGCAGTAAGATTATTGTTAAAAGCGGGCGCTGATCCGAGCCAAACGGTTCATTATTCCACGACGATTCTTCATCGTCATCCTGATATCTCGATTTTAATAGATCATGAAATGAGTAGACGTCGTCAACTCGCAGCTTGATTTCATAACAAATCCAATCAGATATTCTACTGAATTGAATTTTGTTTTTTAACAGGATTTGGGACTTAGTTAAATTGATCGCAAAATCGATTATTCTAATAATCATATTATTAATATTCACTGTGTTACATGAAACAGACATTGATAAATTTTCAATCATTGTTGATATTGACCTTTCTATGGTGCTTACTTTTAGAGCAGTGAATAGAATATCTACTTTAAATTTATTATTGTTTCACACAATTAGAAATATCTTATCAATAATTTAAATAGTACTACAATAGAAAAATGTGTAGCCTGTCTTTAATAAGTTTCGTTAATCTTTTTATAGGACACAAAATTCAATAACTATATTTTTAGATAGGAATTTGCTGAAAAATATTAAAATTAGATAATCATTTTGAAGTATTTTTAAAAAAGTACAATTTGTGTTTATATATATAAACTTATTATAAATCATTGTAATTCATATGTATATATACTTTCTTGTTATCGAATTATAAGTAATAGTATTTTTTTATTGCTCAATACTGTCTAGTATTCAAATATTTCAAACTAGAACAGGAATAATTAAAATTAGATTAATGCCATGATTTTTGGCTGTGGATGAAAGTGCCTTTTAAAGACTGTGTGATATCGAAATATACGATTAAAATAAAAATGATTATTATCAACTCAAATACTGTCTTATTAATCATATCTGAAAACTTCTTATCATCACAAACTAGAAAACGGAAATTCGTGCAAGAATTTCTTAGTATTCACGAAATTGATATTAAATGCTTCAGTAACTAATATTAAATAACTGATGTTACTTATTACATACTTGAGTATCTAATAGTAATTAATACTCACTTATTACATTCATATTCTATAATTAAAAGATTAAATCAATGATCCCATTCTTTTACTTCGAGATCTTTTAACTCTAGCCGGAGCTGAAATAAAATTGTACAAATATAATATCCATAGATTTAACATAAAAAAGAAATAAAAATAGTTACGTTTTTCTGAAATTTCCCACGATGTAAGATATGGGCTTGTACTTATTTTCTCTTTATTATTCTTCGCTCTACTTCGTCTAACGTGGGGAGTCATCGGAAGTGTTGATTTATTTAAAACAGAATCATTATTAACCTTCTCTGTAACAAATCACGTATGTTAAAAAATACAGTTATAGAAAATAAAGTATTGTTAAAAATTGCCCATACCAGAAAATTTTACACTTCGACGAGATCTTCGCTTATCGCCGTTTACATTTAGGGAATTCTGTAAATCCTCTTTTCCCTTATTTTCAGCAGTAATTTTAGCAGAACTCCTTCTTGTTTTCACTGATGGAGTTTTATTTTTGTTATATTCTGATTCAAATACATCGATAGACATTTTTCTGGAAGATTTACTGGGTGTAGGTGTGTTTGCCGAAGTAATAATTCTATTCCTTAAAACTCTTATGCTTTCATTGTATTCACTTCTCTCTTTATTATACATAGACATGCGTTCATTTAAGACTATATTTTCCACATCTTCTGGACTTTTGTCCACAGCATTTTGTCTTCTTAAATTTCTTTGTGAGGATGGTGTATTGATATTTTTGTTCAATGAAGTTGTAAATGGTTCTTCCATTTTTAATATTTTTACAAAGGGTGATATAAATCCACTTATTCTGGCAGGTGACATACTTTGTAGAGCTACTCTGCCAAATAATAACATATGAGGCAATCCTGCTGGAGGTTTGAATTTGTAATCTGCAGGTGCAAAAGATTCTGGTCTCTTTTGTTTTTTATTTACAGACTTTTTATTTTTAGGGGAACGGTTTGTTGCTTTTTTTGTAAGAGCTTTATTCATTAATCTTTTCTCAGTTGCTCTTGTTACTCTTTTTGGTGGAGATGCAGGAGGTTCAGTCTGATTACGTACCATTTTACGAGTTACAGGCTGTAGAGCAGATTGATTACTTATTGGAGAATGTATTTTATGACGAACCACTCCAACTACAAAAGGTGGTTTCTTTTTCATTTGTTCAAGCTTTCTGCGTTTCTCGCGTTCAGCTTTCCATTTCATTAATCTAATGAGACGATTGTTGACTGCAGGAACCATTTGTGTTTCTGAAAGTAAATTACAGTTAGATTAGAAACAATGACGATAAATTTTGAAAATACCAAGAATCTCTGTACAAACTTTTATTCCTTGGACTATTAGGCATAGAAATGGAAATGTTTCTGTTTGCATTAAAAGTGTTTGCTCTCCGATTCTTACGCGATTCTTCGCGATTCTCAGCCCGAAGAAATCGGCCTTCCTTTGTGTTTCCCAAACCAAATTTCCTCGCTTTATACTGTTGTTTTAAAGTTGACATTTTATTTAATACGTAAACACTTCAGATTACAGTTAAAATACTTTATTACTCCAACAACAGATCTTAACCAAATTTAACTGAAAGCAATTTGAATTACCACACGACGCGATCAGACGCGATGTTATACTAGTGTTACCAACCATGTAATACTAAATTGTAAATTTCTGAACCGGATCCGGATGTCACGTGGCTAAGAAACTAATGGCGTTAGGCGGCAGTTTATTGGAATTTGACTTTCAATAATATTTCCAATCGTTTGATAAATATTTCGAAATTATCTATTTTTCCTATAATCATTATAATGCATCCAATAAAGAACAAGAGTACCTATCAAAAATTAATGCTACAAATAGCTAGCTTTCTGCCACAAAAATTGCGTCCTGTCTTTTTACATCCTACAGGTTGAATTTTACCAAGCAAGTTTTATTAAAAGACTTCATATAATATTGATAATTCTTTAATTAATAGGACCTACCACGGTATTTTTTTGGGGACCAACTTTTAAGTGGTGTTTAGTAATTGCAGGAATAGGAGATATTAATAGACCTCCAAATACGATTTCTTTGTATCAAACTGCAAGTCTTATGCTCACAGGTGCTATATGGTCCAGGTATCTTGTTTTCAATAATTATAAATTTTTTATAAATAATTTACGTCAATTAGTAGTTATTTATCTGTTAGATATTCATTGGTAATTATCCCAAAGAACTATAACCTATTAAGTGTAAACGCGTTTACCAGCATGACCGGAATGTATAATTTTATACGAGGACTTTTGTATCAATTGAAGCATAGAGCCGAATAATAAATAATGTACATACAAATATATATTATAAAAAAGATTTACAAACGTTCATGGTTTTATTTATTTATTTCACGGTTACGCTGACTATTCGTATATCGTCATAAGGTTTATCAGTTTTTGGATTTGTTTTTACTTGACTAATGTTCTGTACAACTTCCATCCCCTTTACTACTCTGCCAAATACAGTATGTTTGTTGTCCAACCATGGCTAAAAAGTTATAAAAATGTTATGTCAGCCGATATGCAGGATATAATAAAAATGTTACACTAAGCTCTCTCCTAACTTACAGTTGGTGTCAAAGTAATGAAAAACTGGCTGCCATTTGTATTTGATCCAGCATTGGCCATACTTAAAGTGTACGGTCTATCATGTTTTAAGTGTGGCCTAAATTCATCCTCAAATTCACCTCCCCATATACTTTCTCCACCAGTACCAGTACCAGTAGGATCACCAGTCTGAATCATGAATCCCTTAATTACTCTATGAAATATGTGTCCATTGAAATAACCATTCTTTGCATGGACACAGAAATTCTCCACCGTTTTCGGAACGTCTTTCCCGAAAAGATTCAGGTGAATATCTCCAAAAGCTGTATGAACAATAGCAGTATCGTATATCTTTTGTACATTAGTAGTTTCTGTAGATGAAATAATGTCTTCTTTCGATGGTCTTTCATTGAAAACATCTCTATCACATTCTTGACTTTTAGTATCTTCTGGTTCTCTTCTTGTAAACATATAAAACCTATTCTTTTTGTAAGCTGTACAAAAGAGAGTTGGATCTGGACGATTCATTTCTAATGTGGGATTCTCTGAAGCTTCCATTTCTACAGTTACAGCAGCGGATTTTCTAGTTTTTCCCTGTGAATATTTCAATCATAATAAATAAAAAATGAAACACGAATTAGAACGTGTTAAAGATATAGAAATACATAAGTACCTGAAATAAAGCGAGTTGCATAGGACGAATATTTTCAGGTTTTCCCATAATTTTGATACATCGATTTGTGTATAAATTTACAAGTTTTACACCTAACATCGTACTATATAAAATCATATAACCAGATTCATCAAAAACTATATTTCCTAAATTTGTTTCTGTCTTGTCTAATTCTCTTTCTACTGCCATTCTGAAAATCATAATAGTAGTTTAGTCGTTTTAGTTATTTAATATATATATTTAAATAACATTACCTTCGTCCAAACTCCATATTTGGTAGTTGTTGTGTCGTTTGTTGCAATTCAGTAAATCTTTGTAACGTTTCGTCAAATACTCTATACAATTTTCCAGTACGAAAATTAAAGACTCTAACTTTTCTGTCTCCACTGAGAGAAGCAAATTTTTTGCCATCCGGCGATACCGCTAAACCACACGGGTAGGTTTTATTTTTTGCAAATTCAAACAGATCAGTATCCAGTTTGGAATCAAATGACACACATTTAGGAAATTTATATTCCATTTTCGGTCCTGTCCAGTATTCTAAAATGCCTGCTTTGTCCACAGAAATACATGTTTCATATACAGGATTGTACTGTCAACAATTAACATTTATATAGAAACAAATTTATATAAAAGAACTGATAAAACTATAATAGTAATATTAATTTTTCTTACTTTCATAGCAACAACAGGTTTAGTGTGTAGTTTTTCAAACACATGTAATGGTATACTAGTTCCCTGTCCATCATAAATAAAGATTTTATTTGATTCTTGAGCAGAAACTGCTATAGCAGGTATTGCATCACCAGGGGAATATACCCACTCGCAGCAAAGTGGTACAAAATTTAGCTTTATCATATTGATCATATCTTAAATAAAATTATTCTGATTAATATACAGATCAATTTAAAATAGATTCATCAAGAAAATACTTACCAAAATTAATGACATCAAAAATTTTCATTGTTTTATCTAAACTGACTGTACATGCATGAACTCCATTACAACTAGCTGCCATAGATTGTATAGTCGTTAAATGTGCACGAAAATGTTTGACAAATTCTATAAGCTCTTCTTGTTTTTTCCAAAATTTAACATGGCCATCACAACTAGCAGTTAATACAAAATTTGATCTGTAATGATAAAAACCAAAGATTATTTTAAGATTACTTTTATCTTGAAGTATTAAAGTTTATTACAAATGTTAATAAATACTAACTTTGTTACCACAATATGAGTAATTACATCTCTATGCATGTATGATTTCTCATAACACTCGCAACATGGTAAATTGTCTGTGTATACTTGTTCATATTCCAAAACTGAAACAAAAAATTTAAAGTTAGTTCATATCCTTTCCATAATAATGTTAAAATTCTATACCCTACAGGAGAATAATACTTGAATAACATTCAAATGTTAAGAAAAGTTTGGAGGAATGAACCTTTGTGCTTTTTTTGAGGTGCAGCTTCTGAAGGTAATGGACCTACCCAATCTTCATCATTGTCACTTTCATGCTCTCTTTTAATATTTGACATTGTTATAAAAACAGAAAAAAGTTTACCAAATTATATTACAGACGTGTTTTGAATACAATTTGTACATATAACCAACGTGATTTTTCTACTTCATCTTTCTGTGGCGCTTCGGTAGTTGATAATATGTGTGAAGTTAACTGCTAGCAGATTATAATTATATGGCAAGAAAGTAAAGAATAATCATAATTTCTGTATCACAAGCAATCACAAGACTGTTTACTGTTGAAAGAGTCATCATTTACATTAAAACCAACTGATACTCTTGTATGCACCAAAACATTTCTAACATGTATCTGATACTGTTTAATAATCGATGAATAGGTTATTGTATTTCACTTACATTCCCTATATAAAGTTGTATTATGTTTGTGATTCATCAAATGCTGTAGAATAACCTCGATATGAAATTTGACATTTGACCACGTATTCGACGTATGTGAATGATATACTGCTATCACAAAAGCAGTGGAAGTCATTTGATTACATGACTATATTATACTATTTAATGGTTTGTTATAGGACAGATCATCTACTCTACCAATAATTTGTAACAAGTTAAAGAAATAATTATTTAAATTAATTTTACATCAATTTTAAGTTTAATATTCTCAAGTCAAAATGAAGAAGAAGGTATGTAGATTTTTGTATTTATATAACATTTTACTTTCTTATATCAAATCATCTGTTTTACTTACTGATGTAATATTAATATAAATGATATTTTAGGTGCTGTTAATGGGTAAAAGTGGCTCAGGGAAAACAAGTATGCGTAGCATAATATTTGCCAATTACATTGCTCGTGATACTCGTCGTCTTGGAGCAACAAGTTAATATTAGTTTCATTCTTTCATTGAATATTATTGTTAAAATTAAATACTTATTCAATGGTATCTCTTACAGTTGATGTAGAACACAGTCATGTTCGATTTCTTGGTAACTTGGTGCTGAATCTTTGGGATTGTGGTGGTCAAGAAGCATTTATGGAAAATTATTTTGCATCACAGCGTGACAATATATTTAGAAATGTAGAAGTTTTGATATATGTTTTTGATGTTGAATCAAGAGAATTGGATAAAGATATGCATTACTATCAAAGTTGCTTAGAGGCAATATTGCAAAATAGTCCAGAAGCAAAAATATTCTGTTTAGTACATAAAATGGATTTAGTACAAGAAGATCAACGAGATATAATATTTAGAGAGAGAGAAGAAGATTTGAAAAGACTTAGTAAGCCACTTGAATGTACTTGTTTTAGAACCAGTATATGGGATGAAACATTATACCGGTATGCTATTATTAATATATGATAATTTCAGTTCATATTATTTCAAGGTTTCACATAAATTATTATATTTAGGGCCTGGTCTTCAATTGTATACATGTTGATCCCTAATGTAAAAGAGCTTGAACAAAGTTTGCAACAATTTACAAACATTATTGATGCAGATGAAGTACTCTTGTTTGAAAGAGCAACGTTTTTAGTAATTAGTTATTGTCAAAGGCAACATCATAGGGATGTGCATCGATTTGAAAAAGTGTCGAATATAATAAAACAGTTTAAATTAAGTTGCAGGTAAATTTTAAGAAAAGTACTAATTATAATTTAGATCAATTATAATTTGCAAATATATTTACAAATCATACTTTCAGCAAATTAGCAGCTCAGTTTCAAAGCATGGAAGTTAGAAATACAAATTTCGCAGCCTTTATCGATGTATTTACGTCAAATACATACGTAATGGTTATTATGTCGGATCCCGCTATTCGTAAGTGTTTGTAACTTAAATCTTTCTTTTTAAAAGCACTGACATTTTTTTCATATTGTTTCAGCATCAGCAGCAACGTTAATTAATATCCGTAATGCACGAAAACATTTCGAGAAACTGGAGCGTGCTAGTCAAAGCTCAGCATTAAGTAGATAGAAATCAGCTCGACCCAGGCGCGTTGTCACCCGGGTCCAAACTATTAATCATTATTAAATTAAATAATTTCTCTTCAGAAGGAAGCCAGCAGATTGAAAATGCAGTTGCATGAGAACTTTCGTTTTCTACTAATCAAACTGAATTAATTTTTGTTAATGAAGTAATAATTTCAGTATACAATTTTTAACATACCATTATTAATAGTACAAGATCCTTAAGATAACTCGTATTATTTTCCAGAAGAAAAATTTCAATTCTTTCTAATTTTCTTAATACAAAACCTCAACGAATACATACGTAAAATTATTGATAAGTATGTACGCTAATGGTGAATGACAGAAATAAATTCCCGCTGACTTGAAATTGTGCGCTATTGATATTGTACTGGGTGAACATATATTATTGTTTACTCATGGTAAATACTCTTTTGGTTATTAGATAACATATGGTTTCTTTTCCTGATTCTACATACGTTATTATGTCTTGTTTCTGTATAGCAATTATTCTAATCTGTTATAAAAAGATCTATTTTCCTACATTACATTCATATAATAATAATAACAATAATAATAATGTATTTTATAATATATATGTTGTATCATAATACTTAGATTCTCTTGCAACATCAATAAAATAAATTGATCGTGATTATTTTCTTGAATTGCGATGGTATTCATATTGGATTATGTACTATAACTTGTACAAAGTTTTGATTCTATGGAACCTTTTACGCAAAAAAGACAGATATTAAATTTATATAAGTTTATTTAGTCTTATTTACTAAGAAAAAATGAAAGAAAAAAGATATTGAATAATAATTGCTTAAATATGTATCGCTAATTTGTATTTTTTATCTGTACAAATAAACATGAAACAAAATTATAGAAAAAAAAAATTTTTTTATATAGTGTTTCAATAAAGAGATACGATAATTATGTAATATCTACTTAATCTGTTCTTGTAAGATAAATGAATTTCAAATTGCCGCCTTAATAATGGCGGTCGTGTATTGTCATCATTGCAGGTGATAAAGCCTAGTCAAAGTGTCTATAAACACAATTATGGATAGAATAATCAAAGGAATAATACAGTATAGAAAATGGCATAGGGAAGGGATGGTGAAACAATTTCAAAAAGTTCGAGATCATCCCGAGGTATGTTAAACTTATTTTCCTAAGTTCTTTCTTATCAGCTTATAGACATTTTTTGTGGCACTTTCACGTGTTAATATATATTAATAATTTATGTATATCAAGTGGAAAACTATTTGTAATAGTATTTTGTATATTAATTATAATAAAGTATAGTTAAATTCAATCAAATATATTCTTTTTATATGTTGCATTAATATTTACTGTAAAAAAGGACACTTCTTTTTTTTCTATGATCTTACCACGTCCTTGAACTAAAGTGTCGCTAATAAGAAAAATGGAATGCACACGTGTATTTTATAGCGCGAAATGCAAATAAATTTAAGAATTCTTTCATCGATTAAATCAATTTAATTATTTATTTTATATGTATTTGAATTTATATTGCATATCTATATGTATATGTATGTATATATTGAATATTACTAACTTATAATAAAATGATATTTACTTCAAATCTGTATTAATTATTACATTAACACTTACAAACTTAATTAATTTGTATTTTTAATTTTATCACAGCCGAAAGCAGTATTTTTTACATGCATGGATTCTCGGATGATTCCAACTAGGTTTACGGAAACAAACGTTGGAGACATGTTTGTCGGTATGTTGAAATATTTCATTTGCTCAATTTTTTTCTTTTTTATCGTGAAATTTATATTTTTCAGTCAGAAATGCCGGTAACATTATTCCTCATCCTCAACATTTTGTAGACGAATTAACAATGTGCGAACCAGCGGCTTTAGAACTTGGTTGTGTGGTAAACGACATAAGGCATATTATAGTATGCGGGCATAGCGATTGCAAAGCTATGAATTTATTGTACGCGTTACGAGACGAAGAATTCGCATCCAAAGTATGCATTTGATAGTATCGTATGACTTTATTTTTCATTTTTTCAATCTATTTATGGTAATTGTGATGTGTAGGTGAACAGGAGGATATCGCCGTTAAGAGCATGGCTATGCGCGCACGCTAGTAGCAGTTTAGCGAAGTTTCAACAACTCGAAATCAGTGGCTTCGATCAGCCGATACTTTTTCAAGCTGAAACGCCATTACGGAAGTTCGTGGCCTATATCGATCCCGAAAATAAGTTCGCCATAGAGGATAAATTATCTCAAGTTAGTCAAAGTATAATTAGCAAATGTAAAAGACGAACTTATTTGAAAACGTATAAACATACATAATGTCTGTTTCAATTTCAGGTAAATACTTTGCAGCAATTGCAAAACATAGCTTCTTATGGGTTTTTGAAGAAGCGCCTGGAGAGGCACGATTTACACATTCACGCTCTGTGGTTCGATATTTATACCGGTGATATTTATTACTTTAGTCGGGCTAATAAAAGATTCGTTGAAATAAACGAATTAACCGAAACGCCTTTACTTGGAGAAATTAAGAAATACTATTCATAAATTATTTTATGCTTAACACGTTCGTCATCAGTATTTTATTTTATATGGGAAGTCGACGTAGTTACACATACGCGAGGCTGGTGACGAACGTGTTAAGCAGTAGTTTTCATCAAGGAGGAATTTCAACATTTCGTGGATTAAGACTGAATAACATCTGAGGACGTTTGATCGTAGAATAATTAGATTCTCGTTCAGTCGAAGATCTTTTTAATGTACCTGGATACGAAAGCAACAAGCTCTCGCCTTCTTTTTCTATTGAGATTCATGACCATGAGTAAAGGAAGATTATTGTTATATTATTGATAAATATTTATACTTCACGTCGATATATAGATGGTTTAAAACACATTATTATTTATATAGAAATTCGCACATAGCATGTGTTCATATAAAGATATAAGGATGCCTGGATAAAATGATTTTTTTCGATGAATATATTATAATGGTAATATATTTTTTATATCGTTATATGTTACGTACGATTTTCATGTATGTATATGTATATTTTTTTAACATTTTATAAAAATTGTGTATATACTGAAATTAACTTATATGTACTTACTACGGTAATAGTAAAAAATACATATTTCTTGTTATTGGGATGTTCGCTTTGATTCATTTAACGATCCACTTGGTTTCTCAGCGATCTGGTTCGGTATACTTTTACGCTTGAATCGCGCTAAGTTTGAAGTCGAGGTATAAGGAGTCGGAGGACGTACCGTACTGACGAATGGATGCTTTCGTGGCCAGGCGAACTAGAGCGTGCCACTCCCGAAAGAGAAAGCAAAACAACGAACTAAGGTGCAGAATTAGGATGATGGTAAATATGGTATCGGACGTTCGAGTCGATACGTTCAGACACAGTACGATTCAAACAATGCGAATGTAACTTATGCTATTTGCGATTGGAATTCTTTTCTAGTATCCCTTCCTATCTACTCTTGAATTCATATAAAACATATATGTCTGAAAATGTCACAATGGTAAAAGAAAACAGTTCCTAATTAAGGAATATAAAACGTCCAGGTAGTTTGGTAACTCAGGGAACTGAATGCAAATTTGCAATTTCTCCTTTTAGTTCCATAATTCAATATATACATAAAACTTGCATAAATCGTTCGGAGAAGTATGTCTTCTATAATTTACGAGTAACATCGCATCCACAAGCGTGTTACGAGTTACGAATACAATTGGTGAATGCCTAAGTAAGTTAGACGCGAAAAATGGCTCGAGTTGCTCACGCTTTTCAGTATGTTTCACGGTAAAAGTGAAGAGGATTTTGCTTCTGTGTCTAGGGGAATCGTCGAGTTGGTCCGGTTAGGCCGGTCTACCGAGTGTGACGAGCACCTATACCGCGGTTTGCCGAGCAACCGGAAGGTGGGGAGATCCAAGAATTTCCTTGCTCTCACAGGAGACACCGCGTCTCTTTCCATCGATGTGTCTCGCAACCCCACGAATCACCGTTGGCACACTGGCCTGAATCACACCGGGGTATCTATGACAGTGGCAACAGGTGCGCGTACGTCTATTAAAAAGTAAAATCATCCTGCCTTTTATTCTTCTCATCGTAAGTGAGATTTAGAGCGAGACATATTTTATGCGACCAGCGTTTTCTTCATCTACGAACGAGTGATTATTTAATATCGTATTCATAGATAACCGTAACGTTCAATCCAACTGCTGTTACAGACGATGGAAAGGGGATGGCGCAATACCGGGCATAAGGCATTCGGCAGATTTCCTTTTGAAAACCTGTCGAGACACAATGACGGTATCGCAACAAACGTTTTAAACCGTGCACAGCGGCGAGTTTCCGCGGGGAATGCCGCATTCGAATTGGATTCGGTTACGAAATTCAGGTGCACGGTAGTCTTCCGGACCGTTTACCTGGATCGATGAACAATGTTGTTTAGGTACAGCAGAGGATTGCGTAGTTTTGCGGGCCAAGGGTCGAATTACCGAGTTTACCGAAGCCGCGGGGGTCGAAGCAGGAAGTCAAAGGCGAGAATCGACAGCTTTTCAACCCTCCGTTCACCGCAATTCTACCGCGCACCTCGCTTCCGCCTTCCTGTCTACTCTACGTTTAGTGCCGGAACGGGGTTCATTGAAAATTTCGGTGAAATATTGCACGGCAACTTTGTTTTTAAATATTTTCTATAAATCCATTTCGATTTAACGTAGAGCGTACGAATTTCGGCTCGGCTGGATAATTAATTACACGGATACGACTTAGTTAATTTTTCTATGGTCAACGAGCGTTCCTTGCCACGAAACAGTGCTCGTATAAGAATAAGGTTTCGGAAAAATATACGACCGTAACGAAGTAGTAATGCCACCGGGGGCTGTAGCGTGTTATGCTTCGGCACACACCACTGGCCACGCACTCTTTTTCTTCGATCGGTCTAAAACGAAAGAACAAAAAGAAAAGAGAGGAAAAAAAGGAAGCAGAGATCGGTGCGAAATCGTGACATCGTCACCATCTCTCATTACACTTCGATTGATAGATCCGTTTGAAAATTTCGCGAAAAGCATTTTTTTTTTTTTTTTTTTTTCGAAGTGAACGATTCGCCTTTCTCAATAATCGCAATCGAATTCCTTCTTTTTTTTTTTCTTTCTTCCTTTTTCTCAGCTGAGTCATTGATTATCCAGCCTTTCGATGTATACGCTGATATTGCGTAAACGCCTTAATTTATTTCCTTTATTAAGTATACTAGATTTTGAGTTTTTGCTAAAAGATTAGCGAAGTGAAGTTTTGCAAGTTCGACGTTGCTAAATACCCTATCCTGTTCTTTTTATTTTATGTTCCGTAAAATATGCAAAAATTGTTGAATTTGTATAAATGAAAATTTCAAGCATGATAATGTTGCGTTAAAAAAGGAACAACGTGTTTCTTCGTTATTTGACCCATTTATCTTTCTTGCTTGTACGTTTCGAAAGGTGTTCGATTAATCAATCAAAGAACACTGTGTTAAGAAATCAATCATCGATTTAAATATCCTAAGATTTATAATAATGTATAATATCAGAAAATGCAAGAATAAACGAGTTATTTTCAAACCGTTCGACTTAATTTGTTTAAATCCCTGAACCAAGCGTGTCAAAATCAAAATCAAGATTATAAACCATAAATTTTCAACGACGGTTCACGCATCCTATTACTTTAATTGGTCTCAAGAAATCGGATAGAAGGAGAAGATTCTTTTCTCGGTGGCTGGTCGAGCCAGAATCCTTACGTGTCCGTGTTCCCGTTTCGAAGCCTTGTGTTTCGTGCTCGAGTAAAAGTGAGTCCCAGATAAACGGTATGTAATGCCGTAAATATATCTCGTAACACACGAAAAAAAAAGAAAAAAAAGAAAAAAGAAAAAACGTGGTTCCGCGAAAAACGAGAAAAAGAATATCTAATTAGGTGGAGTACAGGATGAGCCTGGTCCTTTTGCCAAAAATGATTAAACTAGAAATAGATATTTAAATGAAAATGCAATATGCAATTTAATTAATTATTTTTTTCTATCTGGCTCATCCTGGACAAAATTTTAACTACGCCAATGGGTATGAACTATCGTTTGCTCTTTTCTTCCTCCTTCGGATACTATTAATGCGCATCGTTGGATTTAGGTCGAGGAAGTCACGAGTGGTGCGAGTTTGACACAATTTTCTCTGCTCGTCCGGTCGAATGTCAAGGTGTAGGTCTTCGTCATCGGGTCTCGCGTGTGTGTCCTATTCGCCGTCTCGAAATGCCCGAAATTCTAAGCACGACCGTTAGACTAACGTTTAACTGTATAATCGTGGCGCAACTTGTACGAAAAAGAAACTTCTATCTTTCTTCGTCTGTTCCTCTAGCGATCTCGCTTCGCCCTTCGGCGAATTAATGAGCTCAACATCGTGTATACCCGTGTCAGAAATCGTTTCACGACTCCTCAGTAGAGTAGTAGGTCCCTTCTGTTAACCCTTTCGTGACCGAATTAATTATTTAAGAAATTCTGACACGAATCGACGACACCACGATGTAATAATATATTTACCGCGGATACGGGTGTTCCTATTGTACATAGAATATTTTATATCGTCGAAGCATGATGCGTAAGTAACTCGATATTGCATCAACGAAATCACTCGGCAAAGGGGAAAAAAAGAAGCGGTGATTTTGAGAAAAAAGGCGAACGAAAGGAACGATCGTGACCAATCGTCCAGGTCGGTGCCCAATTCCTCGGTAGCGTAGATAACTAGGTATCCTCGAGTGCTCTCAGCAACTCTAGAACCAGGTTTTTCTAAGCGTTTAAGTAAGATTTTTGCGCTCCGATTTTATATAACGTCGTTCCCTTGTAACCGCCACACGTTGCGCCACGGTATCGCGTAAAATATGCTCGTTCGATTTGCTATCCGCGACCATATCCACCTTGGCTACCTTACATTTACGGACCGATTCGAATAAAAATCGTTGCGAATCAACTGGATGGTTGTTACTCTATCGTCGTTGATGTCCTCTCGCGTGTTAGCTAAGCGTGCAAGTGAAAGCACAAGTTAGAAGAATTACGGGGACGGCACGAAATCGACGAAAGGATTAACGCCGTTTCCTTGAATGATCAAACTTGACATCGTTTTACAATTCGACTGGCGCGTTATCTTATATTTAATTACCCTTCGATTACCCTCCTTTTTTTTTTTTTTTTTTTTTCAGCAACCGTAACCCTTTGGCGAAACACGTTCGAAAGATGTTTCATAACAATCGTACTGTTCACCGGTAGAGTCATGGCACGGCACATTCGTGGGTTCGTTGCACTGTCTGTTGTTGCAACATTTTATAATTAGGCCGTAGCTACGCCGCCGTTACGTTCTGCGAGTGCCGGGCAAAAATAGACGATATCATTGGGGGACATTCGACACACCGCGCCGCCGTGAATTGGCCAATTGCCGATCTACAACAAATACGATCATTTTTCCTTGCCGGGAACCGAAGCGAAACGATCAGCGGAGTCCTTCGTTAGTTCGCAACGTTCCATACCGCAAGGACTTATCAAGGACGTTCTACATATTTAGAAAGAAAAAAAGCAAAGAGAAAAAAAAAAAATGAAAAAATAAAAGTTCACTTAAATTACCATTCTACTCCATCTCCGTTGCGTTAGCTGAAAAATAATCATCTTCTTTTGTTAAGACATCGATACGCGATCATGATCGTAGAGATCATAGAGAAATCAACTTCCGATCGATCTAATCTCTTCTCCTCCCCTTGACTGATAAAGGGACACGAACCGGTAGACGCGTGTACCGGTGCGTAGGTCGTCGCTGCGTGAGCGTACAAGTTCAAGAACAATGGCACTTCACGATCTGTATAATGTAGGTACAATTTTGCCAGCCTACAGTGGCGGCTTATTGTGGCGGCGGCGGTGGTAGTGGGCAGCTCTCGTACCACTGACCTACAAACACACTTACCTATGTTATACTATGCTGCTATATACACTGCTGTTCAAAAGTATCGAGCATATAATAGTTACAAATTAGACATGATTTTCAATAGAACCATTCGAATCTACGTTTCAAAATACATTGACGATATTTTTCTAACGAAACCATAGTAAGCATTATTAAAGAGGTCTGATTAATTGAAAAACAAGAGGAGTATTCGAAACTTTTGAACAACATTGTACGGTAATGTCGTTATACCTTTAATGCCGGTACACACGCGTTTCCGCTTGGTAAGGCGCTTGTATACGTCGTCCTTGGAAGATTTACTCGCGGACCTGATCGCACTCCTGATGGGGCTTCGCGAATTTTTCATTCGGACCTGTGGACCGAAAGTAGCCTTACATCATTAGGGAGATTTATAATGATTAAACAATAGGAGCTTATAATGGTATAGGATAAACGGAAATTCATATTTCAGTAAACTAGCGCGAAGAAACACGAATCCGTGAAGATAAATTACCGCGTAACTGTTCCAACAGAAAATGGACGCGTTCTATACTCCCGCGTTTTACTCTCAATCTCGATTGACCCACTTGGTAAACAGGACAAACTGGAAGAGCAAGGCTGGGGTCCTGCATAACACGAAGAAAGAGAAGGCCGATTCGACTCGACGCTTTTTTTTGTTTCTTTTTCTTTTTTTTTTTTTACTATCGTCGCGAATCGCCAAGACGAGGATGAGGCAGGAGACAGGAAGCAACGAGACGGAAGAGGAAACTCGTGTTTAAGATCTTAGCCAATTCGTTATCGCAGCCACGGGTTTGGATACCGCGACCCACTCTTGGTTTCTGATGCCAAACAAACTGGAAACAATCTCCTTCCTTTCTGTCTTCTCTTCTTCCCGAACGTTCAGTTTGTGCTCCAATTGACCCGGCTACCGAGAACAAAAGCTTAGTCTATCCTGATAAATCGCCAACCGGATATAATCGCGCGCGACGTGGCTGAGCACGGAGAGAATTAAAAAGACGGCACGAGAGATCGGTAGTCGTGTACATACGCAATTATGCCAGTGTACAAGTATCGAAATAAATTGTTAATTTTCGATGAATTTTTACGTACAATAATTAGTCGCCTCCGACGAGACACTTTGTTCTCGTTTCCTTTCGCAATGCCGTTCGTTCTACATCGAGTTAACGTGATAATTAATAAAAAGCGAAAAAAAAAAAAAAAAAAAAGAAAAACCTACGCTCGATCCTCTGCTTCTTTTATCGTGGAATTTAGGACACTTTTTTGCCAACGATACTTGATAAAAAGACTTTACGATACAAACTTATTTTTACGATCCAGCAACTGTACATACCAGAATCAAACTAGTCGTCCTTGTTCCGTCTTTCTTCATTTATTTTATGAACTCAGTCATCCCAGGACCATGCCTTTTTAAACAGCTCTATTTTTGAATAAACACAAGGTAAAATTTAATACCGCCTAGATTCATGAACCCTTACCTAGTTAATTTTGGAAATTTTCGAAATCGGGATGGTATCGATTCGATTGCGTGTAACACACCGTTGTGCCCAAATTTCTCCCCCCCCCCTTCTGTATACCGAAATCCGGAACCTCGTTTTGGTGTACGGGGGCCGCTACACTCCACGGAATGTCCTCATTTTTTTTCGGGGGCCTCGGGGCCTCGAGGGCCGCGTGACTTCCTCAACGTAAGAACCGGGAAGCAAGATGTATCTACGCGTCTCGTCCCTTCCGAAATTTTGTCTACGTGTTCTGCCACTACTATTTTATTTTTCCCGTTCGCTGCCGAACCTGATCGAACCATCAGGTGTCGCTAAAGAACGGCTGTTAGACAGGTGTTACAATCCCATTACTCAAAGGATACAATTTTTCTTAATCCGATTACCATTTCAAATTTGCACGCGATACCGAATGAGCGGTCATACATCTTCGAGAAGTAACGACTAAAGGAATTGTTGAAAATAAAAAAGGAAGCAATACGCTTCGCGCATATTTATGTAACGATAGCAATGGCTCTGTACCGAGGCAGCGTGTAACGGCAATGCGAGTAAGTTTCCTCGTAAGTTCGTGTAACATCCGTGTCGTTCGCCACCCAGGTTACTATCTATCCCTTCTTCTTCTTCTTCTTCTTCTTCTTACTATCATCACGCATGTACACTACCACGTACGCCTGGCTACGTGTAGCCACGTGTGCGTCACACTTAACGCCTATCTCTAGTGATGGACGAATGTGGTAAGGATAGAGCTCGATGTGTTCGACGCGTATACCACGAAGAAGTTTCACTCGGTTGTTCGCATCGACTCCGATTTCTCGGTGTATCGTGTACTTACGTATATACGAGCAGCTGTTTTAATCGGAGAACGGCCAGCCAAGTCCTTGGCAAGGCCGATCGAGACATCATCGCTTTTTTCCAATTAGCACACTTCTGGTAATCGGTTCCTACGAACGAACAAACGAATAGCTGTCATCTAACTAAAATTAGTTCTTCTTTCCCTTCGTGAAATTCGGATGGAACTTACGCGATATTGTTTATTACGCTGTGGAATAGGAGTTTGAAAAATACCGCAGACTGTGAAAGGGAAGAGCGGTTTAGATTTTGGAAATTTATGACACCTGGGACCTGGGCGCACCTTGTATTAGCAGGCACTGGTCAAAATTCAATTGGCTACGTGCACAGCTTCCTGGCTGTCGTAAAATCCGATGAAAGGATGCTCGGTGGCCACATCTAGGCCCACAGACAGTTTTCAGCCGATTTACTACGGTCAAGTTTTACAACGGTACCCTGCCATTTCTCGCCCTCCCCCGCTTAATAGGTACAATCTTTTTGCATTGTTTAAATGAAAAGATCAGCGAATCTAAATTTAAAAATGAAAATAATAAAAATTACTCCATCCGCGATAAATAATCTTATGAAAAAATTGATAGCTTCAAATTTTACCCAAAAAATTGTTCCCAGGAAATTGGGGATAGTAATCTGCGAAGTACGCAAAAGTGTACTTTTTACGACGTTTTATGACATTATTCGAAGAAGCACATTATCCCCTGGTCAAGGTCTCGAGATGCATTCTGTCAGGTGTAGGTACCGGGCAGTTAATGGTTGTCCAGTGGCCACATCGAGGGCCACAAAACCGTTCATCCTCGCAAAACCACCGTAAATTTTCAGTCGCGTTTACTCTGGAAAACCGAAATCTTCTTCTGTCCTGTCGGCCAAGAATCGTCACAAGATTTAAGTGTCATCGAGACTCCGTGGAATTATTTACAACCAGATGTTTCAAACTACCTGAACGAAATTCATCTGAAACGGAAGTTGGACCATTTTATTCGAACTTCCTCGAACGTTACAGTTTCTAACAAAAGACGCCTGTTCAATTCCTCCGAGAAATGAAAATCTTCGCCTAGCTCATAGAATACAATTACTTAAAGCACCGTTCACACATGATCGTTTCGCAGACGTCGCGTCGGTCTACGTGTGCGAACCTACTTTCTTAGCGTAATAAATTTTTGATATCTCCTCGTAACGATCGATGGTCCATCGGTGTCGACTTTCTTCCACGCATAAGTGCCGCGATTAAATGACGATGCGTGTTGTTCCTTGAAAACAAAATCTAGTGTCAACGAAGAATTTATATACGGTTCAGATCTTTGTTCGCCAAGTCTTAGGGTTGGTCCACTTTCGTAGGAGAAGCACAATTGAGATGGCAGTGATAGACGTCCACGGTGGCATCGCGAATTCGTGTTTGGTGTTTCGAAAGAATTGAAAAGACCGTGCCGAATGTCGCATGGCAAAATATTTTAGGTCGCGTAGCATGGAAACTGTGACCGTAAGAAATCGCGTCTCGCAATATTTAGACTCGTACTACTTGCAACGGGCGGCCGAGCGACGCGACGCCGACGGCCGATTATTCACGCACCTTTTCTTCCCGCCATTTTTCGGCCTGCACCCGGAAGAGGATTCCTTTCGGGTCGTTGGACCAACAATAAAGGAAGTCTTGCTGAGTTTCACAGTTCAACATTTTCCTTGTCCTCTCCTTGTCTACGTGGAAAACTTCCGGGTGGTCTGGAAACGCATTTTCCTTCCAATTATAATTCGCGATCTCGCGATCTTTACATTTCAAGTCATCTAATTGCGAGCTTCTTTTTGCAAATCAAGAAACAACGTTGATTTGTTCGACCTCTACGAGTTTTATTACCTTCCACCTTGAAGTGCGTGCGAAGTGTCGGTTGAATCGTTTTAAACGACCATCCGAGTCGCCTCGATTTCTGTAATTGTTTCCTTATGGGGTCCTTGTTACGAGCAATGACACGAGGCCGACTGAATTGTTCAAATTAAAAACTATCCTTCGTGGATTGTTACAGAAGATAATAATCTATGTTCAACATAGATTTTTTATCTGGAAGTTGGAACGCGATGACCCAGAAATAGGAAGACTGTTGGATCTAATTCCTCCTCTTTTAGGGAAGTTCATAAAATATGGCACGCTTCCTTCACTATTTAAACAAGGGTCGTTACGGGAAAACACGAAGAATTGCGTTAGCACCTCGTAACATGTGGAGGAGCAATATTTTGAGAGACCTTTCCAAAGAACGAGACAAAACGAAGGTAAATATTTGGAGGCAGCCGGTCACGCGTGCCATTCTCGACGCGTGACCATTGTAAATTATGAAAGATTCGTAATAAATCTTTGACACACGTGTTTCTTCTCGGTGCCTGCCACGTTCCGGGTCATATTGCTCACGTGTCCATCCATTGCCACTTTGTACCCAAATTCGTCCTCTCATCAACGACCAACGTTGCAGGTAAGCATCGAAGAAACAGCTGTTTTAGTCTCGTGAAAAATAATTACTGAACAGCAGAACTTTTATTACATCATTCTGGGCCAGTTTCTAATTATGAATAGAAAATTTAATTAATAATTCACATCTTCGTATATTGAAAATAAGATAAATTAATAGGATTTTGGTATTTATACGTGTTCGTTCATTGAATTGTCGAGAAAGGTTGGCGTACTGCTGGGACGCCCCCAGAACGTAAGGGTGGCAAAATATTTTGACAGCGCCACCTCGAGACACCCCGAGCGTAGAAAATTTATGGCACCGGGGGTTAAGGTTGCCTGAGATCGGTACAACCTTCCGAGCATCATTTCGAACCGTTAGAATTTGCGATTTTATTGCTACCAATAAATACGTCCTTGCGCTGCCGTTTTCCTGACTTTTACAGACAATCACGATTGATCCTTACTTATGCCCTCTTTTCAGAGACAATTCTTGCGTCGATCCTTTAAGCAGGACCTTGAAGAGAACCTTCTTCCTTGCCATTAGAATAAATCAAAACGCACAACAATTTCTTATTTCGCGATTGAAATTCATCATTCGGAATCTTTTAATCGTAAGATCAATATAATCGATAACCGATCGCTCCCAAGGCGTTAATGAAAATCTCCTCGATGGATAGAAAACGTCGGCTCCCATTGTAATTTCAATCGCTACTGAATCTTCGGATAAGTCTCTCACGGTTCACATACTTTAAAATAAACTTGCAAACAATTAGGTCGATCTGGTTAGCGATCTTCGCTAAGGAGGAACGCGGTCGAGTGGTACCACTAGTCGCAACAACGAAAGTGTAACCGACTTGTGCCACGAAGTGGGGCCTTAGAATCGAGGGAAAAAGAGGGGCCCACGATGTAACGAGCATCGTAGCTGGTTACATTGCGTCAAAGAAAAATGCCCTCACCGACGGTTGCCAACCGTTTGGGGGGCGGCGACGGTCCGCTTCGACGCCTAATTAATCGAAAGTTATACAACAATTATTATGACGCAAATCGCTGCGATCCGTGGCGAGTGCGACTGTTATGCGGTGCCTCGGCCGTATTGCAATCACCGTGGCTAATTAAAAGTTCGATTCGAGGAGGATCATGGCAACGGAGAATCGCGAATGCGTTAACAGGGATACTTTCAAAAATGTACGCATATTTTTCGGCAACCGACCGTCGCGTCGTAAAGTGACGTATTGTACCGGGTAAACGGCGGGATTAGGTTTTAACTTCGGGAGAAAAAAAATTTGTTGACCCAAGATCCTTTCGTCACCTGGAGTTCTATCGTCGAGGACCGTGTCGATAGGTCGGTTTACTGTATTTTGCAAACTAGCGGTAACCTGTATTTTTTCTTCAACATTCCCGAAAGTCCCGTTTTTCATCTGCCCGAAAACGGACACGATTGTCACGGATTTGTAGGGTAACTGTAAAAGGGTTTTCCGTTCAAGGGTTACAGTTTTTTTTTTTTTACACCATCGACATTCGCATACCTGGTTGTACATTTTACTGCCTTTAAGAAACGGATGGACTTTGGCGTAATTTCGAGTTGCGTGCAAAAAATTTTTCCTTCCCCTGTAATCCGAATTTCTGATGTAATTTTTAACTCGATATAAAAATATATCGTCCCAACTGAAGAAGCGTACGAAAGGGTACGCGTGCATGCGCTTTTACTTGTTTCCCTGCCCGTTCGTTTGCGGGCAGTTGCGTGTGTGTTTCTCTGTGGATGTGGCCAGGTGAAGGTAAAAAAAAAAAATATTGCAAAATTCGGGTCTCCAATTAAATTCAAAACTCGTGCACCGACGAGCCGTAGTAAACGCGAATTCCTCGTTGACCAATTCACGTTAAACCCTCATCTCTATCACTGTTTAAATCTTTATAGTATTTCTATAATGCAACAAGTTCGTTAAACGCGTCTACTTTACATTCATTAATCATAACCCGAGTCTTAATATCGAAAGAATCGTAATTGAATTTGGCACCACCACCGGTTACGGTTCGGCCAATATAATGCCGGGTCAAAATTGACCCGATGCTGGTTGGTGGAGGGTTAATAACCGTCGATAGAGGATCCACGAAATAGCGTGCAGGTGATGGAAGAAGAGCAGTGAGAGGAGAAAGAGGTGGAGGAGGAGGAGGTGGAGGAGGAGAATGAGAATCTGGGGGTAGGAGTTAGTTGAAGGTGGGGGGTCCACGGTACCCCCGGCTCGGTACGCAAGGAGGCCTGTCGAAGTAGGGGCCCCTGTCGGTCGGTACCGCGTAAGACCCCTCGCAGTAAGGGCCCACAGGCCATCCAGTTCGTTTCTTCCTCGCCTACTTTTAGGAATTAGTCGCATCTCGTCCGGCGCCAGGCGAGCGAGGCCTCTCTCTTATTCCTACGATCGACAAGGCCTCCCTCCTCTCTTTCTTTCTCTCTTTCTCTCTCTTCCTCTCTCTGTCTCTCTACCTCCCCGTCTCACTCCCTCTCTCTCCCTTCTTTCACTCTCCTTTACCTATCTCTCTCTCTTTCTCTCTCTCTTTGTCTATCATTCTTTCTTCCTATCCGTCCACACGACTTCGACCTTATCAACCGGAACGTCTACGAACAAGTCTACGAAGAGTGGTGTTCGGAACCGGAAGAAGCGTTCGACGTCCTCGTTGGACGAAATTTTCTCGCGACAAGTGATCGTGACCGGCGGAAAGCGTCGGTGAGCCAACACTGTGTACACACGATATTGCTCGCGATTCGGCTAGCGGACGAGATCGTAAAATAATAAAAACAAAAAAAAAAAAAACAAAAGAATAAGTAAGGAAAGGTGGACAGGAGTAGCCGATGAAGTGTACCGGGAGGCTGATGAACGATCGACAGTGTTCGCGGTGGCAACGGAGGACACTGGGGACAAGGTCAAGGACCCTGTTCCACGGCAATTCCACTTCCTGATCGACGCTGAAATTCGTCCGTCGCGACGCGAGATCGGTCGTGGAAGGACGCCAGGACCGGAAGCGAGGCAGAACGCGCTCGGATACTCGAGAAACAGAAGAAAAGGAAGACCGCAGTGAAAGTTTCGTGGTCCTATCTTGGCTTCCGGTTTTCTCGATCGATCTATCAGTGCGTGTATCGATAGACAGAACTTATTCGGTGATCTTGTGACCCCTCCACCTTTCGTCGTTTCCTTTTTTTTTTCTTTCTTCCTATTTTTCAAAAGGAATACATTTCTCTTCGGCTCTTTTACACCATTCCCTCGGTGTTCCGCCGTGATAGGTGAATCTTGTACAAAGTGATCTTGTAATAATCGACGAGAAGGAAACGGATCCACGGGTGAACAGTGTCTCGTTCTGTGAATAGATTTATAAGAGGAGGTCCTGAGGACATCAACAATTCCACTCTGGATACCACGCTGCTCATATGTAAGTCCCGTTTCCTTTTCTATTCCCTTTTATACCCCTTCACGTCATAGTATAAATAATACAAAAAAAAAAAAAAAAAAAAAAAAATGGCAAAGAATCATTTCGAATGGAGCTAGGCTAGGCTAGACATCGTTGCATTTTTAGCGAATCGATTCACTGTACAGAATTTCTTGTACCACATACGTCACTCGAGTTACCACGCTTTCTAACGATAGAACCCGTGTCTCGTATTCGCGATCGAAGTTGCTAATACCGGCCGACTTTTTTCTTTCTTTTTTTTTTTTTCTACCATCATTTTAGAAAGAAATTCACCAAGTCTGACGAGCATCGTCGTGTGAAAGAGGATTAAATAAGTCGACGTGGCTAGTTATCCTTGGCCTTTATTTCGCAATTCTCGTAAGGAAGGTCAGGTCTACTCGTTTGAACCGAGCGGAATTCCGTTCGGAAATTCTTTCCAGTGTCACTGCCCCTGCGACCCAGTAACTCGCTCGAAATCTCAACGACCCCATCGACGGATTTTCCTTCGTTACCGCGAGCTTTTCGCGTACGGTTGAAAAAGAAATTCCCAAACACGATGGAAATATCGTTATCCTTTCGTTCGCTTTCGAGAGGCCGCTTCGCAACGTGTCAGTGGGAGCTGGCACTAAAACCTAACAGTAACGGGTACTGGTAACCGTGTCATAAAGGAGGATCCTCGCCAGCACGAAAGCATTTCGGTATTTCGGACCGCGTGCACCCAAAGTAATTCGACGATCGAAATTTCACGGTGAAATAATTTTCGATCGCAGCACGCGAATCTCTGTACGTTCTGTTAGGAGTCGGAAAAAAAAAAAAAAAAACGTACGAAGATTATCATCGTCCACGAGATTGCATCATGAATGAAATCATATATTCAGTTAGGAAATTCAGTGGAACAGGTGAAGGGTGTCAAAATTCTAACCCGTTGAATAATAACGAGGTGTAAAACCGTTTCTGGAAGAAATTTATTTAACCAGGTATCACGGTTCGCGATCTGCCGCGTGTCGCAATGGCCGCTAGACGTTTCGAGTTTCTCGCTGTTTCCAGAACAACAAATCACACCAGTGTCCGGGGAACGATCTGGACCACTTTGTATCGAATAAATTCTGCTCTTCTGTCATAGAGGTATTCTAGATTCCAATTTCATCGAGAATCAGAGGAGGAGGAGAATCGCCCTTGACCAAACACGCTCGACGATTAGTCGTAATTAACGCGTACGTTTCTTGTCGGTGATCATTTGACATTTCGTAGCCGACACGGTTATTAGGGGGGGGGGGGGGGGGGGGGGGGGGGGGTGCATAGGACTACGGAAAATCGACGAAGACGAAGGAGGCTGCTGCTTTGCGGTGAAATTTCACCGAAGTGGCTTCCTTGCCTCTCGCGAATACCGCAGGTTGTAGATATCTCGCTAAGGAGTTACTCACGATTGGCTCTCGAGCCCAGTGTCAGTGTCAACTCGTGCTCGGAACTCGTTGATTTTCAATTCTATAGTTTTTGGGAAATCGAATGGAAAATTGGTAGGAAGAAAGAGAAGAAGCAGACTCTATTTTTACGAAACGATGAAACCAGAATAAGAACAGATTATTCGTGGCAAGATGGGGAAGGAGACGCGAGTCTCTCCCCGTAAGGAGAGGGAGATTCAAGTCTCTCGTTGTAAGAGAGAAAATAAAAGAAGGATCGGAGAAAAGAGAGAGAATTACGAGAGGAGAAGAAAGGGAACGCAAGAGGGAGAAGAGAGAAAGAAGAATCGAGGAGAGAAGGACGAGAGAATAACAGTGTAGTGGGGTTCTGTTCCTAGTGGTATCGCGGTGGCTGGAGAGTAGGTCAGTGTACCACATTAACCGGTATTCCCAGCAGAGAAGGGGGGCTTCCGACTCGTCAGTTCCGCAAGCGTTTATAGATACTAGCAGCTATACGTCCACGCTCGCTTCGCTTTTGATCCATCAATTTTATCGCTTTTTCAACGATATACGAGTACCGATACCTTGCAGGGTTTCCGACCATCGTCCATCCCACCATCGAAGAAGAAAACTTGTCTCACCGTGTAATTCGGTATTCTGTCTCCCGCCTCGTCGCTTCAGAGTTCTTCTTATTTTTTTTTTTTTTTTTTTTTTTTTTGTAAAAAGAATACAAATTTCGTTCCATCGACGACCCAGATTGTCCGCGGAGGGTTAACCTTTACCTTAATGGTTGCCGCACTTTCTCCGTTGGCAGAGCGGTACCAGGTTCGTCGGTACGCACCTATGAGCTACGATGCATTTTGATGTCGACACTCGGTCGAATACCGGAGCAATTTCCCTGCTGGGAATCACTTTTCGTTGATAATTTCACGATTTTTCATGGTACCTTTGCCAACTGTCTTAAGACAGTTAAAAGTTCTTTCTCTCACGTTCGATCAATTCTTTTCTTTTATTGGTAATTGCATGGAAATCATGATCGTCGATCGAAAATCGTCACGTACGATCGGCAAAGTACGTTTTACAGAATATTAACGAGTCATTACGAGATTCATGGACTGAAAGATAAGGTAGTTTACCGTAGGAATGCGAAGCATTACAAGCGGCGCACGTTTTTGCCGGCATTCTAATCTCCGATTTCCATACGTCGCAACCGAGTTTCCGCTTTATTTTTCGATCGATCTTCGAAGGAAAGTCGATCGGTTATCGCCTGGTTTTCTTCCGATTAACCAACGAAACCCACATAATTGACGCTAATCGTACAACGAGTACTAATGAACGCGTTAAATATAACCGCGATTCGAATATACCGCTATAACAGATAACAGATAATACCCTCATTTAACGTATCTGCCTTTGAAACGTATTAATGCGAAAGCTGCCGGCAACGCTGATCGTTCTACACCGTCCTGCATTCCTCGACTCTGTACGATCCCTCGACCTAACTTCTAAATCGACTTCCGTCGTTAAGAAAGAAAAATTACTCAAGAGACTAGAATTTCTTTCGAGGCTACTCGAGAAGGGACGAGGAATGAAAGGTTGGTCCCGCGATCGTCGCGATATTTCGTAGATTTTAAAAAGCGAAATAACCAGGTCGATCTCGTAAATTTATCGTTCAAACCGGACGACGGAAGAAGGATGGAAGCGTCTCCGTACGCGGGGACGATCGACGAGGCCATTACCGGTGGTGCTACCACCGCGAGATGCAGAGGGTATGACTCGTTTCCTCTATGTGGGTCATCTGCGTGGGGAAGCGCGATTCGCACGCGCCATTTTTCGCAACGAAAAGGAAAGCCATGGCTCACGCAGCTAGCAAAATCCGACTGGTTTTGCGTAGGCCTCCTCTCCGTCGAGGCGCAACGCGTAACGGTGCTTCGACCTACTTCCGTTCCCCACTGTAACCTCCCGCGATCGGATATAGTTTAACCGGCGTATAGTGGCGCGAACAAGTGCCATCGTCACGTGACCGGACGCCATCTTCTTTTTCGAGTCTTTCCGAAATCCTGGACTCGATCCTGGAATGCCTTTATTCCACCTAATAATCCCTAAGGTTACGATCGCAGATATACCTACACCGAATAAAGATAAGAATGGCATTTAGTTATTAAACGCTTGAGGGATCGTGTTTGATTACCCTTCGAAAGATAACGAGGGTATTTCATGGTTTTCCGGAATGCCGTTACCTATCGAGTGTCTTTCGATGTCGAAGAAGACAATTGTTCTGAGATAGGGGGATATCGTTGACGGGACGGGACGGGTCGGGTTAAAAGTGGGCCAGGACGTAAACCGCAGCTCGCACGCGCCATTTTTCACAACGAAAAGGAAAGCCATCCGGACAAAATCTAGCCGATTTGCGTAGGATTCGACCGTGCAGTGGGCTGTAACGGTGCTCCGGCCTACTTTGGTCCCCCACTATACGTGAGCGCGAACGCGATCGCGGTATAGTTTCGTCGTATAGTCACGGATACAAGTGTCCGTGATGGTACGTGTACGGACCAACGATGCAGGTTCTCCCTCGTTCGCGTACTAAACGTATGCATCGATGGCCATTTCGTTTCAACCGGTTCCGATATTTCTATGATACATCAAATTAATACCGATAAATTGATCCTATCCTCGGTTGACGATCTTCTCCATCACCGTGAGATTCTAACAGATACGACGGCTACCGTTTCCGTCGATGGTAATAATTTAACGAACAGCCATAAGCGGATACGCGGATCGACGATACGGTTGCCCGCAAATCGATGCAGCCGAATTGGTCTTTGGCACGGCGTGCGGATACCCGGTGATCCCATTGATAAGTGGTTCACCGAGACATTGTCGTAGGCCCGAAAAAGTGGGACCTTCGGCGAGCCAGGAGCAGCCGGTTTCCACGAACGCTGGTGGTGGCTGTTGGGTCTGACGGTCGAGGCCTCACGAGCATCGAATCCACGCCATTGGATAACGGTACCCCGGTGAACACGTCACGGGCCGAGCAGAGTGTTCCCTTCTCCTGCCGCGGTGCCTGAGTGTGCCTGAGTGTACCTGGGGCCCCAGAAGTGGGGCCCTCCAACGCCGTCTACCCATCCACTGGCACAATCGACAAGGACGGCGTCTAAACCGACGACAAGGACGGACACGGCACCGGCGCGGCGTGTTCGGCGAGAAACACGCTCGGTGGGGCAGAAAAAGAATGGCAGGACAAGGTGGAGGGAAAAAGAAGGAACCTCGTGGTGGGCATAGCCGGACCATACGTACGTGCCGACCATTTGCATGATTCCCATGACGTGCTCTTACGGCCACGCGGATGTGTCAATCGGAACGGGGAAAGAGAAAGAGCCGATTCGCGTTTTTCGTCCCAGCATGCGCGGGGATCGTCGTTACCTTCGTTAGAATGCAAACAAACGTCCTTTTGTGCGCTCCTCGTCGAGAAGATACCATCGTCGTTGCCGAGTATACTAAACGTTACCGTAATTTTACCAAAAATTCTTTACCTTTGCTCCGTTATCGTAACGTCCATATTACCAGAACGACGCTCGAGGCTGTTTCGATCTGTACAGGGTAGCCTGAACTTTCTATCGAGAAGATGGTCGCGCATACCTCAACCTTGTCTTTCCTTGAATGAATATCTTCTTTTTCCATTTTTTTTTTTCCCCCTGCTTCTTTCTTATTTTCATTCCACGACTGTCGATAGTGGACAGGAGGCTATTTACAACACGAAAATGTATTTTTAAACGCGGCAATTTGGTTGGTCGTGTGTACCCAGCCGTGGCTGGCTAGCGTGCCACTAACCTAGTTAGCGAGAGCAAGTCTTTCTTCTCAAGAGAAGTGGTATCTGCCTACTTAACTTTACGATGCATTACCGGGTGTACATGTGTGCTTGTACCTGCGTAAAATTATTGTTTATTAAGTATAGAACAGTTGATTCACTAGTCTTAATTAACATACCTATTTATTACTATTGTCACTCGTTAGAATTTCATGTAGTAAAAGCGTAACTTACGTGACTTAACCCTTTGAAAAGATTGCCAGCATTCCTATGGAAAATCGAAATTCATGTTACAGGTCCCCGCGGGGCCGTTGGCGGTTGCAGCACCCCCGGCAGTAGAGTGGATCCCTGGTGGAATCCTGGTTCCCTCTTCCCCTCGACCCCTGGGCCCCCAAGGATCGACGAGGGGGCACCGGATAACGGTAGCGGTGGTTTTCAATTCTGTAGTCCACCGAATCGTAACGCGAATAGTCCATCATCGCACCAGTCTCAACAACAGCACCAGCAGCAACATCATCATCATCATCATCATCATCATCATCATCACCATCGTTCGAATCAACGCCATCATCAGAATCAATCGAACGCGAACAGGAACGTCTGTCCGAGCTACAGCATCGGGCCGGGTTGCTCGTCTTCGTCGTGCTCGTCGTCGAGCCTCGGTCGTCAGGTGGATACGGTAGGGCGAGGTACTGATGCCGTAGGTTCGCCAAACAGCGTATACGGCATCGGCTCGTCGTCACCGGAACCCTGTTCGGCAAGCAACCTAATACTTTCGGCGCTCTTGACCACCACGTCGTCGACGGAGGGCCGTAATCAAGCGTCGCGTGCTGGTCCGGTGACCAGCAGCGGGCAGAGCGGCGCGTTACCAGCCGTCTCGACCACGTCGCTAACATCCACCAGCACCGGACGTAACATAGGCGCCGTTGGCGTCACCTCGCCAGATTCCTTAAACGGAATCCTATCGTCTCTAAACGTTCGGATCAAGACGGAGGAGTATTCGAAAATCCGTTCGGAGGAGCGAAGAACGACAAGCGCTATATTTTCATCAGCGTCAACGTCGTTGTCTTCGTCCTCGACGTCCACCTTCAACGCTTCTCTGTTAAGCTCGTTGCTGTCGACATCGCGGATCTCGACGGCCCCCTGCAGGAACGACAACGACGAGGACATTCTGCCGCGATCGTGCATCAAACTCGAGTATCCGTCCGCGGATACGCAACGGAATCAGGAACAGCAAGAGGAACAGAACCCGGTGCGCAACATCAAGGTAGAATACCCTCTAAGTCAATCGTCGCAGGACGTTCTGGATACCGGCGAGGAGGAAGAATTAACCGCCACGTCGCCGTACGACATAATCGCCGGCCAAGCCAGGTGCCTGTCGAAACATACCGGCGGCAAGAGTCAAACAAGTTCCTTGGTCAAAGACGTGATCGTACCACCCTGTACGGGCGGAGTTTCACCAAACTCCGACATCGTGATCGAGATGAAGTACGAGACTCAGTCGGGTCCACCGGCAGCGCCGCCGCATCTCACGTCCACCGGGGTCGAGCCGCCTCACAGTAGCCAGGGAACTGGGATCGTGGTCGGTGGATCACCTGCCGAAGTGGTCGGCGTCGACAGTCTACTTTTGTCGCCGTGGGGAGCGACTGGACCGGATTTCCTGGAACCTCCCGATGTCAAGCAAACGGCAGCTGGTCTGCAGGATGCGTGGGACACTCTTCTCCTCGGTTCATCGGTCGGCGTAGCATCGGCCCAGTCGTTGGCCGAGTTAAAACCTCTTCCACCCTTCACGGGTTACACGGGACACCTGAGCATCAATGGAATACCCGGTCATCATTATCACACGATAGCCTCGTCCGCGCAGAGGCCCTCCTTACCTTCCTCTTCACCGACATCTTCCTCGAATCAGGAATACTACGAGTCTCCCGTCGTATCATCCAGCACGCCGTGCCCTCAGGGTAGTCAAAAGCAACAACAACAGCAGCATCACCAACACCAGCAGCAGCAACAGCAGCAACAGCAACAACAGCAGCAGCAGCAACAACAACAGCACCATCATCATCACCAACAGCAGCAGCAGCTGCCGCAATCCACTCAGCAAGTAGATTACGACATCGAGGACATAGCGGAGATCATCGGTTCCGCGATCGCCGACACGACGGTTCCTGGTGGTGGAAATGGGCCAGGCTCGGAGCACGATCCGGACGCGTCGCGCGACTGGATCGACATCGCCGAGTGGATCGACACCGCATGCTCGCCCAAGGCCCAAGAAACAACCTCGCCCAGCCCTTACTCGCAGATATACGCGACGGCGACGCCATCCACCCAGAGCCAACAACACGGTTCGACATTGCAGAGTCTGCTGACGCACGGTTACGCGCCTCTGCTCAACGCCAGGCTACAATCCGCGAGTGCCGGTCTTCAAAATGCATCCTGCGGTGAAACCCCCTCATCGACCAGTCCCTATCCACCTGTCAGTCCACCCGGCAGAGTCTCCACCTCGTGTAGTCCGGATCACTTGTTGCACTCTTCGTTCGCCGCACCCTCGCATCCGAGAAAAAGGTCGCGACCCACACCGGGCTCCCAGAATCCCTCGAAGAAGAGTCCTGGGACAGGCGCGACAGCGCTACCCTACGGCACCGAGTCCGGCTTGATCGGCGGCAAGGAGAAACCCGTCCACAGGTGCTCCATCTGCAACAGAGGATTCCTGAATAAGAGTAACATCAAGGTACACCTGAGAACGCACACGGGCGAGAAACCGTTCAGGTGCGAGGTGTGCGGCAAAGCGTTTAGACAAAAGGCGCATCTGATCAAGCATCAACAAATACACAAGAGGATCGGCAGGGATTAGATTCGCGCAGCTTCTTTTTCTCAGAGAATGCTTTGAGTGTACCTAACATATTACTGTAAGTACCTAAATGGCAATGTGGATCGGAAGTGAGCCTGATCAGGAAGAAACGTTCACGATTCGAGGACGCATGAAACTTTTGCATTATCGAGGAACGCCGCAGGGCCCGACTTTAACCGGATGTTCAACGTGGTAACACGAGGAAGACGACAAGAGTGCAAAGTTCTGCAGGTGCAATAATCGATGACGATCGGGACACTGGTAGATGGGTATGAAGCCCTTTTTATCGAAACTCGAGCAACGCGACGACGGTTCTCTCTCGCGGGGCCACGTTATGTTACGAGGAATACGATCAAACGGAAGTGAGATGATCTCTCGTGCTGTGTTAATATTGACGACGTTATAAGTGAGTGAAACCCACTGTAACACCGTGTGTAAATATCGCTAAATAGGGCACACGCGTATGCGGGTACGTGCGTATATGTACACGTAGAAGAAGAAATATGCCGAACGTTCGAACATAGAGAGTATATATATATATATATACATATGCATATAGATAGTTAGATTGTAACATATATAAAATATTAGACGTAGGAAGGAAGTGACGAAAACTACGAGAGGCGAGGCCAAGCGTATGGACCTCGCTTAGGATGTACCTAAGCTCTTCCAAATACGTTACTCTTTATTTTTATTTTATTACTTTTTTTTCCCTTTTTTTTTTTTTTCCAGAATAGATTCTATCGCTTGTTCTCTTATTTATAATGCTTTTATATTATATGTATACTTTCACGGTCTCATTATCCGCAGTCCTTTCTCTCTTTCTATTGTTATTTATTTTCATTCGATCCCCACCCCCATCCAACTTCCCCTACTTTCTGTCGGTTTTTTTTACCTTTGTAAGATAGTCGATTGTTATTTAAGTTTTTCATCCCTCACTTATCCCCCTATTTTTAGCTTTTCTTCTTCATCTTGACGCACCGTATGTAACATGTACGACGACATTCATTTTCGAAGATACGACTCGACGTTCTTCCCCTGTATTCAATGGTCGTGTCTGTCGAGGCTTGTTTACGGGTTCTTTCTTTTTCTTTTTTTTTTTTTTTAAATTTAATTGCAATCGAAAGAATGATGTATTTAGTTTTACCGTTACATTCGAATCGTCGTCAAGGACGAATTAAGAGCCTTCGATGGATCGACCGACGGAGGGTGATACCCGTTATGCTTTCTAAACCGCAATTACTTTCAAAGAAATACTCATTAGCTTTTGTTCGATAGGCCGATAACCATCTAACGTTAATTTATAATTCGAGATCGTCCTTCCTTACTCGATCCACGAATTCTCGTTGGCATTTGTTTGTCTCCTGTGTTGTCGGTGGCTGCGGAATTTGTAATTTGTATAAAGTCAGAAGATGTGGATTATTTATAAAAGAAATGTTCGATTAAATGATTGTTACCGTAATACGAAACTGAGAATTTCTTTCTAAACAAAAACATCCCCTCGTATCCTTCTAACGGAATTCTAACGATCCCCCTCAGAAATAAAAAATTACCATCCTCTGTGTTTTCTTTCCTAATCGACTGACAACGTTAATTTTCCCAGGGATGAATTTCACTACCCTTGGAGGAAATTTTTTTAAAATTCCATTGCACTGCCGTTCGAGGGGTAAGAAAAGAGGATTTCCCTGAAGGGGTTAACGCGCGATCGCTCGTATTTACCTTATCGCGGGTAATGACCATTCGCGAGGATAAAAGTTAGCCATTTCGTGGAAGCTTAATCGAAGCGGAACGCATACGACATTGGCAAGGTGAAAGTTAGCAAGTTTTCGGTCCGAAATATGCAGGCGAGTGTAATACTTGACGAAACGAACCCTCGGTGTATTTATGGGACTAGCCAATCGGGAAGCGGGCAAAGATGTTGGCTCCTCCGTTGCGTGTTCCGCGTATCCGGATCTCCTCTCACGCGTACGTGCTCCTTTTCTTACTTTTATTTCACTTTAAGTATGGCAGCGTCTCGAAGAGACCCACGGCCGGATTCTGCGTACACCTCACGTGCCATCGTTCGTATCGCGTGTCTCGATTTCTCGAAAACCGACTTCTTTTGATCATCCTTTAATTACTGTCATTGTCCGTAAATAATTTCAGAATCTAGAAAGTCTTTAACGAGAGTCGATCGTCGAGGATCGCTGGTAACCTGCGAACAAATAAAAAAAGATAATGTGAGCTTAAATTTTTCTCGAATCCCATGAAACTTCCTTTTCTCTGTCGCGCGGAATCGTACTACCGGTAAGGGTCAGAGAATAATCTGCGTACACCCACACGGAGGCTGCGAGGACGCGTCAAATTACACGAGACGAGGAGAAGAATCAGCTTCGAACAAAGGACTCGAGACAGCTTCCGTAACGAATTATACGAACGGTGCATCGGTTAGAATAAAGACTACGACCTCCATTGTTAAATGTAATAATATAACGGGGTTACGGTCCTAAAGGTTATCCCCGGAATACTATGGGGCACCGGAAATAAGAGAAGAAGAAACTATCGGTAGAGTAATACGCTACCGTTGTGATCATTTCCCAAGGAGAGAAATCCTCGCCCTTGGTACCGGAACGGTTTCTGTACACACTTTTGGTTTCCGGTATTCGTTTATTTCGAAAAGAAATGAAAACGATGATTGGAAGCGGTTCCGTTACGCAGAGTAGTTGAGGAAGGTAGGCATTTTCGAGGATGGAAGATCGAGGCTCGATTATAGCCCTGGTCAGCAGAGACAATGGACATCCTCTTGTACGCGAGGAGTTGCATCGTCCAGTAAACGCGGTAGATGATATACCGTGTTGGAAGTCAGTGTAGAACCTCCTTAAAGAAAGTCTTTCACCGTGTACACGGACACGGTAAAAGGGGGAGTGCCTTGTCAGGAGGGGAAGGAGGAGACTTTAGGTGGTGGAAGGACAAAGAGAAACGACGAAGGAGGAGCACGATGTTACACTACGTTGGTATACTTGGTCGTCGGTGCCAGGCAGCGATGTTCCACTTACACGGCACACTTAGCAACCCGACTCGGTTCAGGATCCTGAAGAGTGGCTCTATTCTACGGCTCCGATCGGCGTCGTTTTACTACTCACCCGTGTATCATCGGGCTTGGAAATTTTTTTTTTTTCTATCTATTTTCAATCTACATCGAGGCGGACATGAAAATATGGAAAATTTCATGGAATATTATATAACGAATTTCTTCGTATAACCTTCTGTTTCAGATGATGTTTCTATCGTCTAACCGAGGAAGAGATTCTCGATCGTTTGAATGCAAAATACATAGGAGAAATTATTTTGTTACCAGCTGAACGTAATCTACGAACCACTTCTCACAGCTTGGAGGTTCTAGGGCAACGGATTGTTTCGATAGATGAAACGTGCGAAATGATTAACATAACAATTGCGTGTCGCTGAATGACGGCAATACGTTTACTGATCCCCAGTGGGTTGCGTTTTTCTACCCGCGATCTTTCGACACGTTAATTTATAATTACACCGCGAATCTTTATCTTTTGTGTGTTTTTTTTTTTTGTTTCTTTCTTGAAAAATTTCGAAATAAAATTGCAAGTCATCGAACCGACGACGATGGAATCGACGAGGCTCGGTGTCGAAGAATTATGCAGGAACTGGGCCAAGTCGAAATTTGACACACTTCTGGTCGCGTGTACGAATTCGAACTGGTCCCTTGCTTGTTCTTCGGGCAAACGACACCGCACGATTCGTATTGACGCCTTCCTGTGAACGTACCAAGGTGTTTGACAAAGTCGCGTCGCGCGATGAAACAGCAAGATATTTCGAATTCCCGCTGAGAAATCGAAATTACGTCGAATCCGCTCGTTACAAGTTCGACACGCTTTCGACCATTTAAAGAAAGTTCCGACGCGAAAAATTCAGCCAGACACTCGAAATCCGTCAGACCTTTCCAACAAAATCTCCGTCGTTTCGTTTCGAATGGGAATAAGTGAAATTTCATCGGTAAACTAGATAGCAAATTAAATATTTGCAATTATAAAGAATAACACGTTGGTTTGTTTTTACTCGACGAACCAATCGCACCGGCGAGATCGGGAAAATGAATTTCGCAAATGGACGAATAATTAAAGACGATTTGGATCATGTGAGTGGTACGGTTCACACAATTACGTGTTTTGAACTCCTTCTCAATGGACGTCACTAGGTATATGTGTTAGACAAGAGGATGCTCTGCGACAGACGCGTGTACACAGACGAGGGAGCATCATACTTCTGACTCCGTAATAGGATTCTCCATTCCCGTGGTAAAGTTCCCATCGTCTGGTCTATCGTTCCTCGCTCTTTTCAGCGCAACTTCACCTGGAGATCGTGTCAAAAGATTCGCGACACATTAGGTCGCGGTCGGATGAAAATGAAAAAGAAGAACAACACCTACTGGTTTTTATTCCATCGAAAAATTTACCTCCTCCTCCTCGTTTATCATTGAAAATAATAGACCTACTTCGAGAATCCCGAAATAAGAAAATTTGTCGATGCAATTGAGCCAGCTCGTAATATTAACGTCGTACGTGAAACAATTCGTAATGTACTGGAAGAAAAAGAAAAAAAGCAGGCTATAATGGCGGTGTTGCGAGGAGAAAGCCTTTCATCGGTCGTACCAAGCTTGCACGAGGTGTGCAAAGATCTTTTTTTAACCGAAAACGAAGATAGTTTTATCTACTTCTGAGAAAAAGAAATTAAACGTGACAAATAACCCGCGAGACTCACGCCAGTTCCTAATTAAGGGGTCATTAAGCGCAAGCTTACGAGTTACTGTTCGAGGATATTCCTTTCGGAAAATTAGAAAGAAATGGTGAGGCGAACCGAAATGAAATACAGTTAAGAATTCGTGGTACGTGGAATGGCTATATCTAACAGGTTCTTGCCCTTATCTGATGCTCTATTTCAAGAAGAATTCCTAATTACTAAGATGAACAGTGATATCAGCATGGTTTCAACCCTTTTGTAACGAGGAGGACGTTTCATTAGACTATCAGAAATTAAAAAATACAATCAGCCTACGATTCCGTATAATTAGCGATAGTTTGAAGATATCTTAATTGATCTAATGCTAACGAGGTAAACGATTACAGCCTATCGGAATATGTTTGAATTTCCAAAATAGAATTACTATCCAGGTGTACCATCATTTTAGGATCCGACTCCTCGAGACGGTAATTCATTTCGATGGCACAGGTGATAATTAATTTAGATGAATACACACATCGGTTGTTTTCGGCTTGTGTACTTACACGTAGCGCGCAAAGAAGCTCGAACGCGGCTAATGGGCCGAGCTCATGTCGCGGCTCGCTTAACGATCAAGTTCGATTTCTCTTGGCATCGTGGTTACCGTGCGTGCACACGCACGGTGAAAACTGTATGTACACGGGGTACCGTCGAAAATTATCGTCGTTTAGCTGAATACGTGAACGGACCACCTTCCGCGATTAGTAGCTTCTTAGGTGACGATCGCTGATACCGATTGAATTCAAATCTTTCCCCGTTCACCATCAACGTTTGAACGTGGAAGACATATTTCTATTAAAACGTGTTATTTTGTACTCTAGATTTTTCGCCTATTGTATAATGTACACTATCGAGCAACATAGACGATTTTTAGTTGAGAAGAAGAAGGGGAAGGATTCCTCCCCCTACTTATTCTAACTTCACACCTGAATTATAATACTTTGATATATTAATAAAATGATGTGTTTTTTTTTTTGTTTTCATAAAATTATTAGCTATTGTGTTGGTACAGGTAAACGCGTGAGAGCGCAGCGTTACACGTGTGTGGGTCGTCTATGGAGGTACAGCAAGCAGGGGGCTCGAGTTGAGCGTGCTGTGTTCTCTCGTGCTCCTCGTGCTGGTGGGACCTTGTTTCATGACCCACATAAAGCAAGGCCGTTAACACTATTCACGGCTCGCGTACGTATGGGTGCGGGCCCCACGTGCCCTCTCCCCTCCACTCGCCACCCTAATCTTCCAGCAAAACTATCGGAGGGGCATGACACGTCTCTTCGATACGCTACCTGTATGTACCTACACTGTTCTCCATAAGTATTGGGATAATAGTAACTTTTATTGATTATGTAATTATTTACTTGAGCTACTGAATTTTTGTTATTTTATATGAGATAATATCTAGGGACGCCTGATGTATTTAAAAAAAAACTTATGATTTATTAAATATTCCTAGGATATATTTGATGCTAGGGATCCCTAGATGCTATTAAGTATAAGTGCAGGATCAATTTTAATTTCAAATCATTGTATAATAAATTGAAATGTAATTTTGAAATGTAAAAATAATATGAATGAAAAAGGAAAAAATGATACTACTGAAATGATAACGTTACTATTAAAATAGTAATCGAAGGTAAACCGAAAGTTAAGCGCAGTCCTGATAAAAAGTCGCCTCCTGCGTCCTGCTCATGCACTTATGTGGCACTAACAACGTGTGTGAGTGCCTGGACAAGTTAGTAGGTCACACAGATGCGAGTCGAGCTCAAGTATAATTGTGTGCGACGCACACGAGAACCTGAAGCAGCACATTATCATACCCATGGAGAACCGTGACTCCAAACGAGGCTTCACGAGGCACCTTGATCTTGACTGGATGCAAGGTCCATTTCGCTGTCGTCGCACATTCAATATGGCATTACTGCTATCTGCTTTCGTCTTATTCACATTACTCACGTTAAACAAATGTTACGCGTACAACGACATAAATAGAAAAGAAATTTTCTAACATAACGTACTGTGAACATCAATTTCGAACTCGAAATTAATCTCATATTATATTCTAATAGGGATAGTATAGTATTTTATATTATTATTAATTTTTTTTTAATTAGGACAGAATTTTTGTGGATCCTAACTTTTTCTTTTCTACAGAATCATAATTAATCGAAGAAGACTTAAAGATTTATTAGATATCCCTAGATATTCTTAGATATAAATATAAGATTAATTTTACATTATAAATCGACATATAATAAATTGAAATATGATTTTTATTCGAGATTTATTATTCAATTTACCAATGGTTTCACTATGTACCATTTTTTGAATATCCACTTAACGTTTCAAGTACTACTGCTGCCATCTGAGGGGAACGCTCTTTACTAAATGGTAATCCTGAGGAACTCCGGAAACGATGTGCTAAATTTCCATTATTCTTACGTCCGGCTTTTGCATTTCTGCAGATGGTATCGAGAAGGTCAAAATTTGAATAATCGATTCTCCGTGTTAAAACATACTCTGGAATTTTACCATCCTTCAACGAACGTTACGTATAAAGGGGCTTTTCGTTCAATGACAGACATTAGCATTACATGATGAATAAAAAATCTAAGAGTATTTTTCTCTATCTTTCCAAAATAAAATTTATCCTACCAAATAGTATAACAAAACGATATTTTTGGAAAATTGAAAAACTTGATATTTGGGAGACAACCCTTTAACCCTTTGGGAAAACGGAGCAGGGTAGATAGTCGTGGAGAAGTTCCTATTTTATTGATTGACCTGAATTCACAGGAAGAGCTGTGTATATACCCTAGAAATTCCTACTTTCTGCCACTATTGCACGCGATCTGTAATTATTGACCAATTCCTGGCACGAGACCTGTCCGAATAACAAAGTTCCAAAAGTTGCATTACAGTATGTAGGTCATGATACGAAAATTAAGAACGAATCCTAAGTTTCGAAGGGATTCCCTTTATTGTTCCTCGAACCCTTCTCGTACAATAGTTCTCACAATTTCAATTTTTCAATGAGACATTTATCACGATAATAGGTCACTAAATATCAAAGTACTTTAGTCCTGATTACTCGTCGACACGTATACAAATATATGTATATTTTTCTGCTAAATTTTTGATACGTAGAATAGAAATGGTAATAAAAGTACGAAGATACATTTCGTATCGGTATGGCACGTTCTTGATATAAGAATCGTGTTCAATCGTTCGAATGTGTAACCATTCAAATTCATCGAATATTTTTCGCGATTGAATTATCAATGACCAACACAAAATACCACATGTACCATTTACACACACCCTAAGTTTTGCACCATTTGCAGAATGATTTCGACAGGAAGCAGAAGAAGGTTTTTTTATAAAACGTAATGTTATGAAACCGTTTTATTGACATTATTTGTTTTTAAATATTCGACGTGGAACTCTTTAACGATACTTTATTCCTATTACCTTTCGGTGTTTGTTAAATGTATTTACAAAATATGCCGGTTTCTAAATTTGTGCGAATCTGGAACAATTAACTTCGCAGAAGATGTTCGTTCGATTTCATTAATCGGACGACATTACCTTATTCTCGAATTAACTTTGTAAGTACACACACTCTCAAACTGGTATTAGATTTTGGAAAGGAAAAAAGAATTATCGAGGAATTGTTAAATGATGTAACAGATGTTAACAACACGTTGGCTGCCATTGGAATTCACTGGGGGCCTGAAATGCAATGCAACTAAATAATTAAAATAAAAAACGAGATGAAACGTTTTCAATACCATCATTAAATTGAAAGCTTCAATCTGGAAATTGAAATTAGCTAATTTATAAACGTTTCTACGAGGTCCTTCGTAAGAAAATGACCATCATATTAATTACCAATTAATTGAATAATTATTACTGCACGCTTGTCCATCTTCACTGGGGCAGTCAACGTGTAAACCTTCACTTCAAACTCCTAATTACTAGACACACCTATTAAATTACCATCCACTATTTGTATAAAATACAAAACCGTTTGATTCTAAACAATTCGACGAAACAATACACGTTCTCTCAAAACCACGATGCGTTTCATTCTATGGAATCAATAAACACAGATACAACAGCGTACCAAGGACTCTCCTTATTGATCAAACAAAACGAACATCATAGGAATCGATTATCATCCCTCATTATAAAGCTTCCTAACTCGAAGAAAATTGTCTAACGATGACGACAACATGACGAGTGAACAACAAACTATCTACATTGTCGTTAGTCAATACAAAAGAACCATCCAACTTTCGTGAACATTTGGAAGGAGCTTTGTTTTCAAACGATAACACCCTGTTGAGCCAACAGTTGTTTCCGTTGATGAAGACTCGGTGATTCGCCATCGATCTCGATGGTTTTAACACCGTCGAAGGACTTGGATGTCTTTAAATTATTCAGAGCTTTCAGACAATTGTTTGTAGTCATCTCTAAGGACTTGGAACTCTTTAGGGACGCGTTCGCTAGTTTCTTGATAGTCTCTGAGATGGGACACTTGATGAAGTCTGCTTTTTCCTTTTCTTTCACCTCCTTCGATTCCATTTCTTCTTCTTTCTTTTCTTCCTGTTTAGCATCTTTGGAACCTTCGTGTTTCGATCCTCTGAGGACATCCTGCGATTCTGTTTGCCCTTGATTTAACTCAACTTTCTTATTGTTGTTATTGCGTTCCTCCTCGTCCTCTTTACGATCGTCTTGAGTCAAAAAAGACTTTGGTGGTGCTTCGACGTAGCCACTCTCGTCGCTATCGACTTCCTCGTCGAGAGAATCTAAAGTTAGAAAGGGAGATTCGTCGTTTGGCAACAACTCTTCGCTCATCCTGCCAGGGTACTTTTCCATGGTCCGTCTCTCCCTCTCCTGAGGATCCTCCAACCTACGCAATATCTCACCCCTTGGCCTGTAATCGACTACGTCATCGAAATCCTCGGCATCCTCGAAATCGAACACGTGGGAGGCTGGTTCTTCTATCTCTTCGTCTTCCTCCATCGATTCGTCCTCTTCGTGACGAGACGGAAACCTCTTGCGACCGATCATCACATTGCGACGGTGGAAACGGGGACTTCCGGCGCAGGTCATGAAATTTGGTGAACCCTCAGAGTTTCTCCGAGGTCCTGCACCACGACCGATACTCTCGTCGCTGAACATCACTCTTCTGTCCGTTCGTGGCTCCGTTCCGTCACCTTTAATTAAAAATTAAAAAACATTTTGTCAGATGATGATTACTTACTGGAAAATACTCTTAAATGTTCGATGAAGCTAAGTCCACTTGGAATAAAAATTCCAACGTGAAATAATGACCTGCAGCGTGATGATCCTCCGTACCCGGGGCTCTTTCTTCGCTGGTCGCGGTGCTCGCTGTCTCGCATCCGCTTGATATACTTCCATTCTCATCGGAGGACTCGCGATGCAAAGCATCGAGCAAACGAGCGAGCCTCCAGCTGTCTTGATCTTGCCAGCTGCGTGCCACGTTCTCCAAGCTCCTCAATTCCTCGAGGATTCTTTGTTGCTCTATCTCTTCGGCAACGATGTCCTCTTCGATCGCTGATAATTTCGGCGCGCTCTTCGACCTCTCCAGAGGAGGTCGATAATTCTGACCTCCGGTACTGAGAAGCAACTTTCGTCGTGGTAAGGAAGGGTTCTCGTACAGAGCACTTGCTAGGGATAATCTAAACAGAAAAATAAAAAAAAAAAAAGAACTAGATCAACCCTACTACTCGTCACGGTATACGATGCATTTGAAAAATCCTTCGACCCCGCACGACTTTAGATTCAACCTGAATCACGACTCGATCACGTACATCGTGATTTATGAATGCGACCTAAATTGTTTCATCGTGAAGAGGTCGCGGCCTTACGGTAGTAGCTGCTGTTTACTGGCACACAGACCGGCGCGGTGCCCGATTTCTCTGCTAATCGAATCGATCCAAGAATCTAGTATCCAACGTTTTCTTATTGTAAGAATGATTAAACGTTTCCTGCCGCACACGGCTATAATTTATGCAGTGAAAGCATATTTATCAATTGACGGCGTTGACGACGATCGATCCTGCTACCGGTCTTAATTAACTTTCAACATTCTCTATTACCAGTTCTCGATTTTCATATTGAAAATTAATCATCTCACCGTAATCTCCGATCGAATTTACTTGCCTAGCATTTTGTCTGGAGACCTTGTCCCGCCGGAATTCTAGAAGAGCTTGCTGTAGCCTGGTGTTCAAAGTCGAGGCCAGCCTTCTGGCGGTGGATTCCTTGTTGCATAAGGCCGCGTGGCACCTGAGCTCCGGCCTCAACCTGCGACCCTCGTGCCGATACACCCAGACGAAGAGCCGCGGGTGGGAAGCTGGTGCCGTGCAATAGGTCACCCTATGAGCCCAGTACTCCGTAAGACCGTGATCCTTGGTCGTCGCGGTCAAACCGCCGTTCGTGACCGTCAACCTCATCGACACGTCCGGTCGGCTGCTGCTAACGTAATTGCGCCATAAGGTCGACACCGGTTTCTCCACGCAGCCCTCACCTACGATTTCGATCAATCATTCTTATCAAACCGTACCAATGTCGTTTCTCTTATATTTCTTCCGGGGTGGTAATCGCTCGGAACAATTATCAGCTTTTCATTTTTATGTGTATACAACTTCGGTGTCGCTAATAATTGTAGCCTTCAATAATAACGATGCTATTTACCTCGTAACAGCTGTGTTACGTCTTCTAAGATAATACTTATATTATTGTTACGGCATATCGTTATTATTCAATGTTACCGTTCAATTCTACTGTTATTAAGAAAGGCATCAGCGAGTAACAGTAATCGAGAAACAAAAGCTGTCTTCTGCGCTAGTTTTAACGTCCGTTTTCAGCGTACAATTACGCGTAATACAATTGCACGGTGCATAATACCTATTACTTGTATTGCAACCGTGAAAATAAAATGTTTCCCTCTGGGTTAAAACTCGGGATGAATTCTAAAAATGAGGCTGTTTTGTTCTTTGTAAATACATGAATTATTTTAACGCGACTCCACCTGGCGCAGTGAAAATGTTCATGTATGGTCAGACGCTTTATAATTGAGCTTTCCATTAACTACTTTTTCGACGTTCTAACAATAAATTCTAGTATCCTGACCTTCGGTACAGTTCGATTCGCCGTTCTCCGTTCAACGTTGGATCGCGTTACCAATTTAGAGATACAGGAAACGATGGTACAGTTACTTAAAGACTGTTAGAAAGCGATGAAAGGATAAGAAAGAGAGGGAGTTAATCGGGAAGAAAAGAAGACGCTCAGGGTGTTGTTTCTACCGAGAAACAGGTGAACCTTAGTAAATGCGCGCACAGGGTTAAGCATTAGTGAAATAAAAATAGATAGGTAAATCATTGTAATCGTTACAATTTTACAACTGTCCTTGGCAACGTTCTCGTACGCTTTACCCTTGAGGCAAGACATCAACATGTTTATAAGGTATAAAAATTAGAATAATTTTTTTCTATCTATTAGAAACTTCAAATGTCGATTGCCGTGTGCATAACTAATGTCAAGTGATAAATGAGAATATTAATTTGTTTACAAATGATAGGAATCATGTGACAATTTTACATAATCTTGCTTTACACAGAAGTGGTAATGTCATTTTTCTTAAGAAAAGCTAGGATCCTCTATACGACACAAATCTTGAGTTACAGTTGATTTAATTTAATTCAATTCCCATAGAAATGCGCTAACCGTAAATGTACCAACGTGGAATCAGAAATTCGGTCAGAAGTGTCGAGAGATAACGGGTTTGAATTTGAAGATAATCAAGATACGTAACGTTGGAAATCGCGGTGGATTATAAAGTAATATACCAGCGTTAACTTGAATACAATCGATAAAAGTGAACCGTGTGAAAAAATCATGAAACTTGAAATCATTAGTCGGGGGCCTGTTCTCACAATCAGATTAGCGGGACGGGTAAAGTTTAGCGTTCTTGCGCTTTTTGTTTTTTAACCAGCTCGGTGTATTTTTCCACACATTTTCCACTGGAAGTCTCGTAACGATAACATTCGTTTGTTTACGAGCAACTCGACTAGAAGGCAATGTTATTATTTTTCAAGTGGAAATTTTTATTTACTCGAGTGTCGTCGGGTACTTTTTTTAAAGTTAGACTCTTGATATTTGAAAATCGATATCGCGGCAATAAATTTTCGAGAGAAAGCGACGACCGATCCGTTTGACAATGATCGTCACGATCGAGCGACGTGAATGTTCCCGTAGCGGAAAAACGTACGATCTGGAACGACACGGAACAGGAAGCTATGGAGAGGCAGGGCGAGTGTGGAGAACGACCGCTACTCCGTAATACCCTGTTCGGTATTATCCAATTAAAGGTAATGCTGGTAGCCCCCCGTTCATTTTTCTTCCGTTACCTCGGACACTTCTGTTGACCCTGTTCACCGAGTTGATCGCGTTTTCCAGAAAATTGCATTCTCGCGTTTGGCATCGTTCGAACTCGTCGAAAAGAACAGAACTAATCATTTCCCAAGTTTTCCCAGGGAAAGTGGTAATACCCCTGAGTACCACCCTTCCCCTCGGGCATCCCCGGGAGGAATGACGATGCACCGCAGGGGGCCCCTTATATATAGACCTGCGGCGCGCCTCCACCTGCGCAGAAGCTTCTGCGCAGCTCCACTTGCATAGAGACTTCTGCGCGCGGACATTTGAATTGATATTTACTTCGCTGTTTGTACTTTACACTTGTATACTAAATTGTATATTTAATAATTAATAAAAATGATATTATTCTGTTTCTAAATCACTCTTACTTAACCCCTAGTTAACTTATTCAGTAATTAGTAGAATAGGTGATAGAGACTCGTTTGTCAAATAACTAGCCTAGTTTATCTAAATACGTAACAGTAGATACCTTGACTATGGTATAATGTTTTTTTTACCTCGACGAAGAGATATAAATAATTCATCGCGGACAACGTAACATAAATTCCATGGATACGTTGGACGAAAAATTTGAAAATATCAATGATCGTCAGGATTAATGATATATCGCGTATACGTCACAGCCGTAAATATTACAAGGGATACCTACTTGTTTCTGATTTATTTTGATTGATGAAACCTGATAAAAAATGCAAATCGCAACTATGACGTCGGTTGGTATGCATACAAGTAACGCATATTAAAGTCTCCGACATTTAAATTTGAAATTTCATGTTGCAATTGTGTTGCAAGTATTTAGAAAAAATGTCAGCGGTACCGAAACGACGGATCGTTTCAACAGACCAGCTCTTTGAAGACATTATATTTCTTCTAGGAAATAAAGGAAATCCAGCTAAGCATAAAAAAAAAAAACGCAATAAAGAAGCAAATGGAATTTTCTCATAATCAGTAGGAAAAATCGTTTCATCAATCACGTAGATGAATTATCATTTACATGTAATAAGATTGCCATCGTTTAACTCCCGACATTTATTTTAGCTGGCTATGTGCGCGTTTCTTCAGAAATCTACGTACCTATCAGTTTCAATTATGAAGAAACAATATTGCCGACGATAACAGCGTTTCATTTTGCGTAACTGATCTTCCTTTCTGACAAAGTTCTTTGTTTCAGTATTTCGTACGAATTTTTATTTATAGAAAGTGTTTTAATCATTCTTGGGCAAGCCGGGCTGTTTATTTATCTTTACCAATTAATCCTTGAAACATTTGACTCTCGGAACGATTATGTATTAAAGTAGACCCCTCGATAAGCATCCCAGGTTGCCCAAGAAAATTGCAAACACTAGGAGGTTAAAATCAACTATCGGTGGAAGAATAATTCAACCTTGTTGAAAACCACACTTCTAGTATCCAACAGAGTAAAAAGCGATTGAATGGGTGGCATAAGTAACCGATGATGTGTATATTTTTGAACAGCGTTAAGCACCTATCTGTATCATGACCATCTGTGTTCTACGAAATGAAAATATCCTAACTCGACGTGCTTTTATTATTATCAAAGAAAATCTACGGTAGTTAATGGAAATATACAGGGTGCATTGATCACTCACAATGCATGGATATCACGTTTCAAAGAGCATTACTTTGTTCATAAAATTCATATCATGAGATACAATAATTGTCAAATTTTGTCACATTTTCTGGTTTGTCCCCAAACTTTTCCTCTTACTCAAACGAATAAATTCCACGAACTTGTGCCGTATGTTCTGAACGGTTACACTGTTTGTAGAATAAAATTGCAGGGTTTTTACATGCGGTCCACGTACGAAAGTTAGAGGATTTCAGATTTTTAAGCAGCGACCTACGTGACCATCGTCTCGTTTCTTTTTTTTTCCTCCTCGTTTCACTGCCAGGTCTATGTATTTTCGTTTGTAACAAACTCCGCAAAAGCGTTCGATCATTTCGCGAATGATTATTTGGAAGATCGTTACCGAGAGAAATTCTCGAAAACCATCAAATTAAATTTAAACTCTGCAATTTTTCAAACAACCAAAGGTTAAATCCACACATTATGATCGACCCTGTATCATTGTCTACTTAATTTGGCTGTTTCTACCGTGACAGGGAACGCGTTGCCAGTCTATATTACCAGACGTTTCGATTGAGAGGAAAGGATATCTAAATTTTGAGTTCGTAGCAAGGTATTCGTGGCATTGGCCACTCGTCCAATTCGCATTAACAGTTTCCAGTTTTGCTTCGAACTCGTTCTCGTTCACCTTCGCGCCACTTTGGAGAAGAATGCAAATAGATCCGACCAAATATCGTGGTATTCTATGTGTTAATAAAAAAAAAAAATAAAAAAAAGCCGATAGAACCACCCTTGGCAAACTTTCCTCTTCAAATAAATTCTATTTGAATAAAAGTTACAAGAATCATCGATTTCATTCGATCGCATCGAGTCGACGTTATTTCTCTTTTTATTTCCCCGCGTTCCCAAGAAAGTCGGCGCATCGGCGGTGGTCGGTTTCGCGGAAAGTAAAACGCTTCGTGTCTGTTCGATTCTCGAAAGTCCGCTCTTCCGTTCGAAGGGAAAACTGAGTACGTCTGGCCACCGGAGACAGGCAGGGATTAATCGCGACAAAATAGGCGGTTGCGAATAAACGTACCGTAATAATGGCGTTCCCGATGATTAAGGCCGACCCAGTCCAAGACAAAGGTATGCAGAGAAAGTAGGAGTCCCCTCCGTGTACGCCTATGGCCGGTCGTTGCACCGTACGCTTCTTTTTTAATTTTTATTTTTTAACCCATTCATTCCCGGAGATCCCGCGATATATATTTTAAATATATTATTATATTAAAGAAAAGTAATAGTTATATATCCGCCCACGCGATTTCGCGGGCTGAATTCACGAATTGGTTACAGAGTGGGGCACGCAAAACGACCGACCCGGTAAGCATTCTAAAGGAAATAATGGAGGTAGGAAAGCATGAATCCGAAGAAGGGGTTAAGTGGTGTTAGCGAGTGATCGCTCGAGGGGATCAAATAATTGCCTTAAGGGTATGCGAGTCACCCGGGTCTGTTTTATTAGTACGTGCGGTGGTTTCTTTTTTAAGACAGCCGTTACTGGCACCACTAATGGATCGAACGTGTATGATTGCGCTAGTTAGACGCGTTGACCTTGCTCGTCGGCTAACTGCAAGAAATATTGCGCACTTCCGGCTGGTCATTCATGTCTATTCGCTTTGCGATTCAGAATGCGAACTATAGGTAGACGCGGTTGTCTCTACAAGTCTTGGTTAATTGCTGTTTGCCAGATGAGTTTAATTAACCGGTCGCGTGCTAGGGGGCTAACCGTACTACGTAATAATTAAGGAGCCAGAAAAGGTCCGTCGATAATTAACGGGACTGGTCCCTCCAAAAATTCACACATACCTAAGAGCTTTCTTCTTTCCTTTCTTTCCTTTCTCTAATTAACATTCCTAATCTAACGCCCGAGGCTCTGAAGTATTTAAAGATACGTAAAAGATTGAGGGGACCAAATAAAAATCTTCCAAATGCGAAAGACAATTGCGAAAAGTTGTATTGTTCCGAGCGTATGGTGAGCGAGAAGATTAATTCAAGGTGGCTCGCAGGGGAACGCGTTAAGCCTTAATGACCAGTCAGCGCGACTTAAAGACAAAGAGAATCAGATAAAAGACCGATTCGCTTACCCTTGGCCCATCCAGTGAGAACGTTCCCAAGATAAGCGACCTTATAACAAGGGTCGTACTCGGTGATCGAGGCATTACCCCTGTGCCTTCTCCAGAGTCTACCAAGTCCTCTCTTCAACGACCTCAAAGTCTTCTGACCAAATTCTTTACCGGTAATCGCGTTCTGTCCCGACCCGGTGCTGTCGTTCTCTTCGTCCACAGGATCAGCGACCACGTCGCCCATCGTCTTCATGGTTCTTTCTATCTACACTTTGTATGTACAATTATTTCTACGTCTCTCTATCAAGATTCACTTTCAGTTGGATAATTCTTCGATTCGTTGACCAACTACATGGTGCGTTGCAATTTCCCTGGTAGCTGAAGAGCAAAAGCAACTCGACCTTTCCAGGGTGCTGCTCGCTTGCCCGAGCTAAGATAGCCGACCAGGTGGATGAGCTCTATCGAGGTCACGACCGGTGCCGGTGATCGAGAGAGGTTGTGAAACTCGAATAAATCTCTCTCGATCCCGAGTTGCTTGCTCGACCACTGGCTGTACGCGTTACTTCTTCCACACCTTCAAGGACGACCTCTCGTTGCTGTTCTCACGTACGAAGGAAGGTCGCTGGTTCTCACGAAAAGCCGGAGATATCTTCCGGTACCTCCTTCCGTCCCTTCTAGCCAGTAACTGCGACCACGGTTCTTCGGCTTCTGAAACATAAACGCAACCCCCTGAACGTTAGTCTATCTCATTCGATTACCAGGCACGCAGCAGCCTCGCGAGTTGTATAAAATATGATATTCCTCTATTTTCTGAACTATGATAATTATATAAAACATAAATGATGGATATTATAGGAGAACGAGAGTGCGCCAAGTTCGATAAATAAATTGATCGATGTAATGGTATCGTTGACAAGAATTATTCGCGGATTTGATAAAAATCGTCTGCTGCGAAATTTAAAGGCTAAAATGCAATGCGAACGATAACGGTAATTATATCGAAGGTAGTATTTTACAGTTTTCGTTGAATACGGCAGCGAGCCGTACATAAATACTCAGGTACGACGTGTTAGGCGAACAGGTGCGAAACCGGTATACATACGTTCAGAAAATACAGTGATAGTATATTAGGAAGTAAACAGTGGAGGCGAGTTACGTTAAATGTAATTCCCTTGTCCCATAATTTCGAATACGGTCTAACAAACGGGACACGCATCCGTGATTTGTAACTTATTCTCTCGTGGATGAGCTTTTTATTTTACAGTTACACAGCTGGATGTTCTTTTCTTTTTTTTTTTTTCCACCATTAAATCTGAAAATATTTATTCATCCGTTGAGATAATAATTTAGATTCATATTACTGAATTAGGTATATTGCCAAGTTAAAAACTTTCGAAAAAATAAAGCTTTCAGACGGGACAACCGCATCAGCGCTATTTTTGTAAAATCGGCAAAAAATGAAGATACGAGCTGTACAAATTTAGACATAAAAATAACGCCAAGTTCTTAACATTTCTCGGATACAACCGTGCAATTTACACGTTCAACTGAACTTTTAGCGCGTTTCCTTCGATAAAATAAAATTCTATTTAAAATACAAATATCAATATTGATTTAATTCATTCTTAACCCGTATCGACGTTCATCCTTCAGACATTTCTGAACGGTTAAAAAGGTATGCATACAGATTTCACTCAACAATTTTGAATGAATATTTATCATACTAATTGCAAGCAGGACGATTGGAAAGTTAAAGAACACCGATATATCAATAAGTAATTTACACCTAAGAGTTGGTAATTTTGATGGCCGCCCGCGGAGACAGGTGTTCAATATTCAACCTTGAAACATTTTCAAAAACGTCAAAATTATTCGGGTCAAATCGCTTAATAAACTTTTGCTTTCGAAAAGGAAATACCTAAATGGGATATTTTCTAGGGGAACCTACCATACTCGGCACTGTTCATAAATTCGTATCGATTAGGTAACAAAATAATCGAACATTCTTACAATCACCGTATCCATTCATTTAATAGACAAAGAGGATACTTTCCGGTTTAATGAAGACTCCTACGTACAATATGCTCGTCTACTGTCAATAACACGCGCGAGCATATAGCAACAGGACAAAAGCGTAATGTAATTTTCCGAACGACCTTCCATATAGGTTTTGCGTCGAACTGACATTAACCACGTTGGACCGATTTTCAAGCATACGACACGCGAACGATAAGCACGTGACAAACGTACAGCGTATTGTATGTATTTTCAAATAAATACCACCATCTTCGTTCAAGGAAATTGAAGAATTACCTAGTTGCTAGGAACGTGAAGGAAAATTTTCCTCGTACAAACCAATTTCATAATTATGTTAAAAATATATTTCATAGTTTAAGCGAAATTTGGCAATTCTACTGATCTCGGACAACAGTTCTAATTACGCCAATGGCTGTGACTTCATTGAGTTAAACATAGTAGCGATCGATCGTCGTAGCTTGATAAATAATTGATTTATTATTGACTGTGCTATTCTCAAGGAGACAATGCATTATAGACACTGACCTCGTTAGGTTGTTAGACTGTCGCGTTTGGAGAATTCTAGGGAACCCTAGGAGAGCCCAAGGCAGGCTTCCCTAGGGAAATAACGCTACAAGAGAAAAAGAAGTCCTACCACTGATATGCGGGTTGCAAAGGGTTAATTACAACGTGCTAAATGGGTCTTATAAGTTAATAAACGTTCACTTAACTGTAGGATGCGTTAAACAAAAGGATTACGAGAACAGAGGCGAGTAGGTAAACGTAAAAGTTGGTACACGGTTTGATGAATTTCCAGCCCAAGGCTTTCTCACTTGCACTTTGGTATTAGACCGAACCGTACAAATCGGCTACGTTAACTTATCTTACCGGAAATTACGGTTTTCAACGGAAGTCTTGCGGTCAGTCTACTACGAAATGTTGCTTAATACTCGTAAGAATCGTGCTACGATGTTTGGAAAGAGTCTGAACTATCCCTATCGCTTCAAATGTTATGCTTTATCGTTCACTTATCATTATAATTAATTATTGTCAGAATTTTTACGGCGCATTATCGCCACGTCCAAAAATCTCATGGAACCTTGAAACATCGACGCAGTGTATAATAAACCAAGGCACGTAGATATATACTAGTGCCATTTTTCACCTACGCTACTCGTTCAAAAAAAGACATTCCAACATCGTTTAAACGACACGTGTACCTATGTACATACGTCCATGAAGCAATGATAACAGAATATAGAAAAAAATTCATATTTCTTTCTGCAAAAATGATATTTAATAATGCTAAGTGAAAAAAGTCACATAAAACAGTGATGTGATCAAGTTGAACTTGGGACGTGTGCATTTATCTCCACATTTCTTTTAGTTTCTACCATCTGATTGACAGTGGAAACAAAAAACTGTTGACAACTATGTATAGTAATTGCCATTGCCACGCTATGTTCAAGTTTTTTGAACTGGTTAGTTAACGTTTGAATGAGGCATTCAAATATCATTGAATAGCTGTGAGAAGAAAAAATTGAAGAGAATTTTCAAGTAAAGAGTTTAAATTTACAAATCGAATCTTAAGTTTTGCAATTATTTTATAATATGAGAACAATTTACTGACCTTTGATAGCACAGTGTAAGTGTTTTATTGCACCTAACACGTCACTACTAATTGCTAATAATTGATTATCTTATCGTTAATCACGTGATGTAAAAACTACAATATTAAAAGTTGTTGTAAAAATGATTGATTATCTGTATCCAGATGTTACACGATTTTAATCAGACCTCTATCTTTCATTGTACATAAGTACATTTTATTTTAAACATAGAAATGTAATTTCAAAAATATTCCATTCAATTCAAAGTGCACGTAAAATGAAGACATGCAGAAAATAGTTCGATTTCGTGATTATTAAGTGTCTCTAACGACTTACTTGGCCTTTGAAATTATTACTCATCAAAGATAACAAAAACAAATTCAAATTTGAATTAAAGTACTTATGTTTTATCGAATACACATTTGAAATAAACGTTCCTCGGAACGAGTTATACGAAATACTTTTTTCTATTAATCAAGGAAACTGTTGGATAACTTCTGTTAATTACAGGTCATTTAATTGGAGATTTGCAAAGATGTTCTCGATCGAAGCAACACGAATGCAGTGCAATTACCGGGTATCATTAAATCGCAAAGTATCGGTCGACGATTCGATCTGTCGATGATCGTACGCGTTACCAATGAATAATGATATAATCGACGATTATATTTGACCCTGTCGTCGTTATAAATGACATTTTTTCTTATTCTTCGCGGTCTTTGGTAATCCTTGGTCAAGGATCTGCATACTGTTTGCAACGTGAATCAACTGTCACGATTTTATCAAAGGAGGCGTATTCTTATCACGATAATCAACGATTGATATACCGATTGCCAAGATCAAGTATAAGAACACTAGGACACAGTAACCTCCAGTTTTTCCATGAAACAACGAGACTTGGGTTCTCAAAATTTAGGTGACCTCGAACGTGTACGGGATCGGTAAACTCGCTTGACATTGCAAGAAGAGAATTTGATTTTTAACACTACCTTTCAAATGGAAAATAATTTCTTTTGCAAGTATCATTAGTTATCATTCTAAACAGAAAATATGGAAGAATGCGTGACGAATAAAGCAGGGAATACTTAACCAAGATCTCGTAAATAGTGAAAGGATTAAATGAATTTAATGACCTAAGATTAAACAGAAAAAAAATGATTGCTCCTGGTGCTTACTTTCTCCGTCTAAATCGCTTGATAATGCAAAAACTTTCGCGTTAATATTTAAGGTTTCTTAATCATACAAAATATTTCAAGAAAGAGATATCAGTTTTATCAAATGGTTTGATTAATTAATCCTTCAAATCTTTACGTCATATTAACTTTCGATTAGGCTATTTATATAGAACTTGATCGATACCGATCGATTATCAATGAAATTTACAACGATCATACGATGCTTGTAAAGAAAATTTTTGGAAAATTACTATCCTTTTATAAATTAAATTAAATTTTATCTGAATCATATGTTTATGAAAATCATTGATGTCTTAATTCAAGGGGCTGTTTTCTTGATAAATCCACTATTTCGCGTGGCTAATACACACCAGAATTTATCTACCTCTCTCTGAAGAATTTAAATATGCAGAAGATAGATAAACAGGTAGTTATGCTAATTCCCTGACTGTGTTTGAAACTCTGCCAAATCCTACCTCCGGTAAATTATGCAAAAATCTTTTTGTGTCCGATCACCGATTGTTGACGAATTAAAAGATATTAAACTCATTTTTATTCGCCTTCTTAATTCCTAATTCGACTTTTATGAAAATTGTATTAAATTGCCGATTAACATCGCGACCTTTTCAGGCGTTTTGATTAAAAACTGGCAAAATGAAAAATTCGGAAACGATATCTTGCGATTAGTAGGTACCAGCAGGATATTCTCGGACATGGAAGCCGATTTTTCAGCGTTTTCGCAATCGTTGTTTTAGCATACAATCGTGGGAGGTTCCGGTACAGGGGGTATGCTCCATTTCCCTTCGTCTCATCTTCCATCATTCCCGCTTTTCTCTTCCATGTTTCCAGCCACCGCGATAATTACCGTGAGGAAAATACTACCGCTATTTGTTGCTTTTTTTTCCCC